ATTTTCTACGATTCATGTCTAAATATGGGCTGCGGTACTGTGAAGAGGAAAGATGTTTTATTTTGTCGGTTAATGTGCTAGAGAGCAAGAGAGGAGATGAGCATACTTCTCAAAATTAATAGAATCTCAAAGACTTTTGTTGAGCATTGTCCTCCTCTATAGCCACAAGATGTCAAATGGACTAATAGGCATCAGATTCTAAATGATAAGGATAGTTATGGACTGGTGTCAACTGGACTTCATCAGGCAGAGCTAGCTCTTGGTGTTGGATAACAGTGACGTGCAACAAATGTTGCAACTCTTTTTTCCTTTTAGAAACTTTTAATCGTGGTTGTCAATAAAAGGGATCAAAAAGAACTCTTTAAGGGTGTTCTCTTCTCTGCACGGCTTATGGTGATCGGTTAAGCAATATCATCAAGCAAACATCGACCTTTCTTTCTGTTAAAGTAAGAGAGAGAGAGAGAATCTTGGGTAAATTTCCCTTGAATTGAATATTGAGTGTGCACATATATTTATACAAGTAGAGGAGTGTGAGGTTTGTTCTCCCAAGCAATGTGGGACTAAAACCCACTACAATACACTATTATCAACAGCCCCCTTCAAACTCATGTTGGATCAAACAAAGTGAGTTTGCGTACAAGAAACTGGAACCGATGAACAGGTAAGGCCTTTGTGAAGAAATCTGCAAGCTCGTCAGCGGATGAAACATGAGGAAGTAGAATTGTCTTGTCCTTGATAACTTGGTGACGGACAAAATGAGCGTCGATCTCAATATGTTTGGTCCTTTCATGAAATACTGGATTATTAGCAATCTGGATGGCACTCTTATTATCACAGTAGAGAGGAGTAGGAGTCGTAACAGAAATACCGAAATCACTGAGAAGGCGACGAAGATGAATAATCTCTTTAGCTGTTGTGGACATTGCACGATACTCTGCCTCAGTACTGGAAAGAGCAATAACATCTTGTTTCTTACTTCGCCAGGAAATAAGGGAATCACCAAGAAATATACAATAACCTGTGGTAGACTTTCTGGTAGTTGGATCACCAGCCCAATCAGCATCAGAATATGCACAAAGCTCTAACTTAGATGTAGCAGGAAACAAAAGTGAGCGAGTGCTAGTACCCCGGAGGTACCGAAGAATCCGTAATAAGACAGCATAGTGTACAGAACGTGGGGCACTAACAAATTGACTGACAATACCAACAGCATGAGAGATATCTGGTCGAGAGATGCACAAATAGACCAACTGACCAACAAGATGTCGATATCGGGTAGGATCAGATAGAGGCTCACCGTCAGTAGAGCAAAGTTTGACATTCTGCTGGAGTGGAGTATCGACAGTTGTATTATCAGTTAACTCAGCTTGATTTAGAATATCTGAGAGATACTTCTGTTGAGACAGTAATACACCCCGCGGGCCTTGAGAAATTTCTAGACCAAGGAAATACCGAAGAGATCCAAGATCCTTCATGTGGAACTGTTGTTGCAACTGAGATTTTGCGTATTGTATACCTGTCATATCATCACCTGTAATGATCATATCATCTACATAGATGAGTAATAAAACCCTGCCACGCGATGTAGTGCGAACAAACAGAGAAGCATCTTGATGACTTTCTATAAAGCCCGCTTTGAGCACAACATCGCGAAAACACTCAAACCAAGCGCGGGGTGCCTGTTTGAGACCATAAACAGCACGACGAAGGAGACATACATGTCCCGGAGGAATATTTGACCCTGGAGGCGGTTGCATATATACGGTCTCTGATAAAGAGCCATGAAGAAAAGCATTTTTGACATCCATCTGGTATAAGGGCCAACGATGAGCAGCAGCGACCGCAAGGAGAGTACGCACAGTGGGCATCTGAGCAACAGGAGCAAAGGTCTCCTCATAATCAATACCTTGTTGCTGAGTAAAACCTCTAGCCACTAAACGAGCTTTTCGACGTTCAATGGTGCCATCAGGACGAAACTTGACCTTATAAACCCATTTACTGCCAACAAGAGAGATCCCAGGAGGACAGGGAACAATATCCCAGGTATGAGTTTGCTGAAATGCTTGAAATTCCTCAGCCATAGCTTGTCGCCACTCTGGAATTTGAACTGCCTCTTGGAAGGACTTTGGCTCAACAATAGTATGAATGGCAGCAAGAAAGTTATGAAAGATAGGTGAATAAGAAGTAACAGAAGCATACCGGGCAGGCATGACATGTGGGCGTTTGCCTCGACGAAGAGCAAGAGGAACCTCAGGCGGGGGAGATGCTGGCGCAGGTGCATGAAGATCAACAGTATTTTCTGGAGTGAGAGTTGTGTCCACAGGATATGGATTAGATGGTGTAAGAGAAGACTCAGGTGAGGAAGAGTCAACAGAAGGAGAGGGAGAGATGTCAGGGAGATCTCGAAAGGAAAATTGAGGTGAAGAAGTGGGTGATGCAGTGGACGGGGAAGCATGATCGGTAGAGTGGAGGAAATTAAAGTCATCAGAAGTAGAATAATATGGAGAATCCTCTTCGAACTGAACATGACGAGATATATGAACTCGACGAGTTGCGGGATCATAACAACGATAACCTCGATGTTCTGAACTAATTCCTAAATAAACACAAGAAACTGCTCTGGGAGACAATTTATCACGTTCGTGAGATGGCAGAAAAACAAAACATCGACAACCAAAAACGCGAACTAGATCATAACGGGGAGGATGAGTATAAACACGACTATAAGGAGTAGCACCGGAAAGAGAGCTAGATGGAGTGATATTAATGGCATGAGTCGCGGTGAGAATAGCCTCAGCCCAGAAACGACGAGGAACAGAGTAAGAAATGAGCATTGATCGGGCAGTATCGAGGATATGACGATGTTTGCGTTCAGCAACACCATTTTGCTCATGAGTGTAGGGACATGACTGTTGAAAGATAGTCCCATGAGAGGACATGATAGAGCGCATGGCAGAGGATAGGTACTCTTTGGCACAATCAGAACGAAAAACTTTAATACGAGATTGCCATTGAGTGAAAATCATAGCAGTGAAGGCTTGATAAGCAGTAAGTACGTCAGAGCGATTCTTAAGTAGGTAAACCCATGTAAAACGAGAGAAATCGTCGATAAAACTAACATAATATAAGTAGCCAGATGAAGAAGGCAAAGGAGCTGGCCCCCAAATATCAGAATGTACTAAATCAAATAAGGAAGTGGATACAGATGTACTCATTTTAAATGGTAAAGCAGTGAATTTAGCCAATTTGCAACCAGCACATGACTCAATACTAGAACTAGATGATACAGGACCAAGTACTCCAGACTGAATAAGACTCTCCAGCCTTTTATTACACACATGACCAAGTCGTCTATGCCATAAATTGGCAGGAAGCGAGGTAGAGGGTTTTGACGAACAAAGAGAAGCAACAAGAGAACGTGGACGTATGGACTCTGGAAGGTGAAGATATTCCAGAAAATACAGTTTGTGCCTCCTACGACCCGCCCCAACCGTCTTGCCCGTCTGTGGATCCTGCACAATACAAGTATCAGAAGAAAATGAGACAAACAGGCCCGCCATGCATAAAGAGCTAATAGAAATTAAATTCAAGCACAATTGTGGAGCCACATAGACGGGACCAAGTGTTAGACGACCAGATGGATCATTTTGTGGGGTAATAGAGCCATACTGAGTAATGGACAATGGTTGTCCAGCAGCTGTGTAGATAGGAGGAAGAGAGGATGAAGTAAAGACAGAGGATAAAAGTGAGGCATTACAAGTCATATGAAAGGAACAACCAGAGTCAAAAATCCAGAGATCATTCATACCAGAGACTGAAGGATTAGCTGAAGAACCAGCAAAATGCATACCAGAGAGTTGTGCGGCGGATGTAGAGGTGATATGTTGAAAAGCATCAAGTTGACGGCGAAGACTTTCAATAGCTTGAATAGTAGAGTCTGAAGTAGTAGAAGGTATAGCATTGGCCAACAATCCTGGTGTACGAGAGGGTTGAGACTGAGGGGGTCGCCGACCACGTCCAGTACCTGAGGAACGTAACTCAGGATGAAGCTTGAAGCATGTCTCAATGCGGTGTCCTTCCTTCTTACAATATTTGCAAGAGAGCTTAGATCGAGCCTGTGGAGAGGGAGCCTGTGGAGAAGTATAATTCATAACAGGAGCAGTGACAGGTACAGACAAAACAGTCTCGAGTGAAGAGGTAGGAGTGTCTGTTGACAAATTGAGTCGTGCTGTCTGCTGCCGGGTCTCATAAGCAGTGAGAGCTCCCATAACTGAGGCCAAAGTCGGAAATTGAGGCTGGTGAAGTAGTTGATCAGCCATAGTTGAATATTCAGGAAGGGACTGAAACAATTGATGCACCTCATGCCGTTCGTACCAGGCTAGCCAGTCTTCATATGTGGAATTACGTCCAGGAAGCATGGAGCGTAACTCTGTCCAAAAAGCTTGCATTTGTCCAAAATGGGACTGCAGAGATGAACTACCTTTGCGTTGTAGAGAAATGCGTTGCAGAAGATATGCCTCCCGTGCACCCGAGCACTCAGTGAAACGCTCAGTGAGACGAGTCCACATGGCCTGAGCAGAGGGAAGCGAGCCAATCTCGACAGTGAGACCAGAGCCAACACAGCGAGTGAGATAATCCATAACACGAAATTCCTGCAATTGCCACTCTGAACTCTCCTTGACATAGAGAGCACGAGCAGTCTGAAGATCGACATCACCACTGCCAGAGGCAATAGTACTGGATGAAGCAACAGTGCTGATGGACGGTGGAACTGGTCCCGTACTGGTGAGATGATCAAGCAAACCAGCGCCACGCAAGGCATTGGTGACAATGGTGGACCACCCTGCCCAGTCACTTTGATCATTGAGGGGCAAAGGTGGTTTGGGAATCTTCTCTGAAGGAGCCATAACAGCAATCTTGAGACGTTAAGATGTCGAGATGCTGTTACTAATGTCGTTCGTTTGAGGCCGAGAGACGGCTTGAAACGACGATGCCGTTAATTTGAGACCGAGAGACGGTCTTGAAACGACAATGCCGTTAAAATAGAACCCGAAGGTTAGAATGAAACCCGAAGGTTTAAAATAGAACCCGAAGGTTAGAATGAAACCCGAAGGTTTAAAATAGAACCCGAAGGTTAGAATGAAACCCGAAGGTTTAAAATAGAACCCGAAGGTTAAACGAGAACGCGAAACGCGTTAAGAGGCCGCAAAACGACAAGGCCAAAATATCTGGCAGATGAACGCCAAATAATTAAAAATAAAAATAAAAAAAATAAAACATTAAACGGCTGCAAAGCAATAAGGCCAAGATTTGGCAAAAGAACGCAAAAGCGTTAAAAATTTTATTGAAAGGGAAATAGCCCTAGCTCTGATACCATGTTAAAGTAAGAGAGAGAGAGAATCTTGGGTAAATTTCCCTTGAATTGAATATTGAGTGTGCACATATATTTATACAAGTAGAGGAGTGTGAGGTTTGTTCTCCCAAGCAATGTGGGACTAAAACCCACTACAATACACTATTATCAACACTTTCTTTCTAATTTCTTGAAGCAAAAGATATCATTTAATTAGTTGGACAAATTTTCAAAACCGATCCATTTCATGATTTAATTGCAAAAAACGACCCGTTTCTATTTTATTTAGACAAATTTTCAAAACCGATCCATTTCATGATTTAATTGCAAAAAACGACCCGTTTCTATTTTATTTATAAAAACCGACCCAGTTGGTTTGCAAAAAACGACCCGTTTCTATTTTATTTATAAAAACCGACCCAGTTGGTTGAAACTGGGTCGGTTTTTTAAAATTTTTTTCCCAAACTTCACGGGAAAAAAACCGACCTGGTTACAGCGACAGTGCTGAAACCAGGTCGGTTTCTCTAAATAAGTTAGGAACGGATCGTTTTTTGCAATTAAAACATCAAATGGGTTGGTTTTGAAAATTTGTCCTTAATTAGTTTGAAACATACTTGAGTAGCTTGTGGAGCTGCTACCAACATACCGTGTAATAAATTTTTACCGGAAATTCAGTAATGTCTTTTTTTTTGTGTGTGTGGCGGCGAAGATTAGGGAGCAGAGAGAATATATTCTACTTATGGACAATTTTTGTGGGTACTAATCCATGCCAATGACATAATTTGTCGCGTGTAATACGCTATAGCCAGGGCTAAGGTTCCGAGATTATGCCCAATCGATATAGACCTTTATCCTAGGGACATACAGTACTTGCCCGCGAACCTAAAAAACAGCCAAGAAGGCATCACCCAAGGATTTTTGGGATTTTTGCCCTGAAAATTTCCCAAGTACTATGTTTCACGACCTCTACCGATGAATTTATCCAAGGTTTAATGCCGAGTTTACAGTAGTGGCTGTTGTCAAAGCCCCCCAGTGCTTTCATATATCAGGCGGCAGTATGCGTTAAGATGTTCAGCTAATGCACTTGTACCCAACTGTTTTTCGAATGTGCACCATATAGAGTTTTAAAAAGCACCTTTTAGAAAGAAGAAAGCAGTTAAGAGTTGGATTAAAAAAAAAAAATTCCACCCATATTAATTTAGAGGAAACATCAACTTTTTACCCTCTGGTACGCAAGCCACACTGATGAAGTATCATATTGCAAAGGAACGTAGCCAAACTACTCAGCTCTTATTATCAATCCATAGATGTCTTAATCAGTTACATCTCTCTAACTTTTTTCCAGTAAAATCCTTCACATACATATTAGGCTTCAACATTAGTAGCATTTTGAGCTAAAAGGGAGAGGGCTTCACCAGCACGTGATCCTGACGATAAACGCAGCTTTCGATACTCGTCGTAGGTGAAGGTTTTGTAGAGTCTTGGGTGTTCAGAATCCGCGAGTGTTGGTGGAGGCTCAACTATATCATCCTTTGGTGCTAGCAGGAACAATGCTATAGAAAATCTCCATACGGCTTTCTTGCACTGGACTCTGTGCTTCACATTATGTAGTCTACCATTGCTCCAGGCCTTCAAAAACAGAGGTTCATACAATGAAAAGCTCATAATCAACATAAAATAGAAAAATTGCCGACATGATGTAATTAGTATTAGTTACAGCATAAAAAGAAAGGCTAGTCTGTCCGATAACTCGGATACATAGTGTTAATTTTTTTTTTTACTTTTCAGTCTCTATATCCACATTATGCAGCCTATCATTGCTCCAGGTCATCAATGTGCATCTCATAACAGGGGGAAAGTGCCGAAATGATGCAATTTGTCTGATATTTCAGGCAACCATATATTCTACCTTTTCCTAGCATGTATACTTTGGACACAGGCTTTTATGGTAGACACGGAACGCTGGCGGTTGCTGAAAGCCGGTAAAATCATTATCATATAGAATGTGAGATGACATGTGAAAAATGGCAAATTTCTTGGGTATTAGGCACGGCAGAGTGTCCAAAGTAAATTGTGTATAAGGTGCAGATAATCTCCTCATTTATACCTTCAACTTCGATAGGATATAAGTAAAATTGTTACATGTAAATTGCAGATAGCCCCCTCAATTACACCTTCAATAGAATTCATCACCCTCAAAATCGTTTATCGACACTTATCACCCTTGGGTTGGAATTTTGAGAAAGATAAATTACAGATAGTCCCATCTCTCCCACGAATTAAGAGACGATAAATAGTTAATATACGAGTCGAGAGGAGATCAACGATGCTAAAGATACATATAAACAGACCCGGCCATGGGGTAAGCCCACCAAGCCTCGGGGCTAGGGCAACCTAGGGCCACGTAATATAGGGTTATAATTTATAAACATAAAATCCCAAGCTTTAACATGATGCGGACTTGGTATTGTGGTTGAGGGGTTTGTCTGTTGTATAAACCGCCCCTGTTTGAGTCTTAGAGGGCGCATTTCGTCAGTTTTTTTTTCCAAACACGTGCATATGTATGATGACCTAATTGAAGAATTCGCTTTGAAAAATTCAAGAAGAAGTATTTTTCTTTGAATTAAATTGTAGCACAAATGTAACCTTTTCTTATATGAATGTTGATTTTGCAAGAGAATATTATCAGTTTGAGCCCAATATAAAACGCTAAATGATATTATATGTATATTTATTTTTATCGTTATTGTTCGTACCGAATTTTTAACATAAGGGGCAACTAAAATTAGATTGGACTAGGGCAACCCAAACCTCGGTGCCGGCCCTGCGTATAAAGGAGGTTATCTCCAATTTATCCAATTGTTAATCGTGAAATTCTGATCAAATAGAATGTAGGTTTGAAATAACAAGAAAAAAAATCTAGAAAACAATGATGAATAAAAATACCTTCGCAACATCCCCGAGGTTGACAAGAAAGGACCCAGGAACCGGATCGACAGCCACGAACGAACCTGACTCGGTCATCACTTCGAGCCCGCCGACGGATTCATCTTCTTGGAGAACGGTGAGGAACCCTGAATCCGTGTGCATCTGGACGCCGGAAGAACCAACGGTTTCCTCGGTGAAGTTGTACCTGTTGATCCTGAACTGACTGGGCCAGTCTTCGAACGAGTAGCCGACCAAGCCCAAGCTCTCCGCGACCTTGCTCGCTATCCGCACCAGAAGCCCGTGGAGCTCCGAGGCGTAGGCCCTGATTGTTTCTCTGAAGATCGTCCAGCGAACAAAATTCACGATTCGTTGTAATCAAGTTGAAGGTCACGCAACAAAAGTCTTTATGACTGAAAAGTCTTTATATCTCCACCTGTGGCNCCTCCGCCGGCGAGCCTAGCAGGTCGATCACCGGGACAACCTCCTCCATAATTAATTAATTGCTAGGGGTGGAGGGATCAAGCGGTTACAAATGCCAAAAGGGTTTAAAAAAAGTCTTTGTTATTATTATTTATTGACAATCGTGGGCCGGCAAATATTGGGAAAGCCTGTTTGGATTTAATCATTTAAGGAAGGAGATGGTAAATTTCTTTTTTCCTTTTTCAATTGAAATAATTAATTAATATTTAGCTGCTAGTAGTAAAAAAAGTGGAGAAAGCGATGAGAAGAAAGCAAAATCAAAATCGATGCAGATTCCAAACTTCAAGATATCAGAGTTTACCTCCTGTGTCAACTACGCTTACAGAGACAAGCGCGCGGGAGAAAAGATCTACTGTCGGCTGTTGTTAATTTATCACTCTCTTCATCTAAAAATGTTTGGAAAAAATGTGTCCAGACCCCAAAAACAAAAATTTCATATGACAATACCCCTTATAGTTTTCTTCATGTGGATCAGCCCCTTGAAGTATGACATTTTGTACTGCAGCTCCTTTTTATTAATTATCACATGCCAGCTAAGCTAAAATTCCCAAACTATCTTTATCCTCTCTCCTCAATCTCTCTGACCCAGCACTCATATCATCTCTCTCTCATCTCCTCTCTCTCTCTCTCTCTCTCTCTCTCTCTCTCTCTCTCTCTCTTTCTCATCTCATCTCTCTCTCTCTCACCTCTCTCTAAAACTAAGAGCTTTCTCAAGCTCGTCGTCCTGACCGAGACGCACAGAGCATTAATCTATTAGCTAGAAGAAGGAAAAAAAAAGAAAGGTAAGGAGAAGTAGAGTAGAAGGGGATGAAGAGAAATGCTGTAATTAAGAAAGACCGAAAATGTGTATTAATGTATCTCTATGAATAAAATTATCACGGTGCCGCCGATCGATATTCGAAGCAATATAACGAGAGGTAGAAAATGAGCCCAAATGAAAAGAAGATATCGTGTGATAGATAATATAAAGGGCCACACACCGGCGCAGACGGTAGTGAAAATGGAGACCGGAGGTGGCCGTAAAACACGCGCGAAGTTGGCACGGCGCTGCTGTTTTCTGCTCGCTGCTGCCGTCGAGCGATGTTTCGGATGTTACCGAGAGAGATAGAGAATGAGTTAGAGCGTGATACAAATTGGAGGTGATAGGCAACATGTAGGGCTACTCACCAAAGAAGAAATCGACGGAAACGGAGATTAGAGGCGATCAGAAAGTGCGTGCAAAGTCGGCACAAAACTATAGTTTTCTGCAGTGCAATTTCTCGCCGTTCGGGTTTGTTCTTCGCTGTTCGGAGATTTTCGTCGCTGTCCGGGCTTACCGGAGGTGGGAGGAGGTTGCCGGGGTCATCGGGGTGTCTCGGTGGGCTCCGTCGGAGGTAGGAGGAGCTTTTCTCCGTTCCCAAGAGCCTAGAACTAAGATGAATTAGAGCTAGAACTAGCTAGAACTAGCAAGATAGAAGCTAGAACTGGCTGTATACAAGCTAGAACTAGTAGAATAGAAGCTACAGCTAACGTAGAAGAAAGAACTAGCAAGTGTGCATGTAAAAAACTCTTGTTGGGTTTAGAACTAGCAAGATAGAAGCTAGAACTGGGGATATACAAGTTAGAACTAGGGGAATAGAAGCTAGAACTAACGTAGAAGAAAGAACTAGCAAGTGTGCATGTAAAAAACCCTTGTTAGGTTTAGAACTAGCAAGATATAAGCTAGAACTGGGGGTATACAAGCTAGAACTAGGAGAATAGAAGGTAGAACTAACGTAGAAGAAAGAACTAACAAGTGTGCATGTAAAAAACCATTGTATACCCCCAGTTCTAGTTTCTATCTTGCTAGTTCTAAACCCATCAAGGGTTTTTTACATGCACACTTGTTAGTTCTTTCTTCTACGTTAGTTCTAGCTTTTATTCCCCTAGTTCTAGCTTGTATACCCCCAGTTCTAGCTTCTATCTTGCTAGTTCTAGTTCTAAACCCATCAAGGGTTTTTTACATGCACACTTGCTAGTTCTTTCTTCTACGTTAGTTCTAGCTTTTATTCCCCTAGTTTTAGCTTGTATACCTACCGTTCTAGCTTCTATCTTGCTAGTTCTAAACCCAACAAGGGTTTTTTACATGCACACTTGCTAGTTCTTTCTTCTACGTTAGTTCTAGCTTTTATTCCCCTAGTTCTAGCTTGTATACCCCCAGTTCTAGCTTCTATCTTTCTAGTTCTAGTTCTAAACCCATCAAGGGTTTTTTACATGCACACTTGCTAGTTCTTTCTTCTACGTTAGTTCTAGCTTTTATTCCCCTAGTTTTAGCTTGTATACCTACCGTTCTAGCTTCTATCTTGCTAGTTCTAAACCCAACAAGGGTTTTTTACATGCACACTTGCTAGTTTTTTCTTCTACGTTAGTTCTAGCTTCTATTCCCCTAGTTCTAGCTTGTATACCCCTAGTTCTAGCTTCTATCTTGCTAGTTTTAAACCCATCAAGGGTTTTTTACATGCACACTTGCTAGTTCTTTCTTCTACGTTAGTTCTAGCTTCTATTCCCATAGTTTTAGCTTGTATACCCCCAGTTCTAGCTTCTATCTTGCTAGTTCTAAACCCAACAAGAGTTTTTTACATGCACACTTGCTAGTTCTTTCTTCTACGTTAGTTCTAGCTTCTATTCCCCTAGTTCTAGCTTGTTACCCCCAGTTCTAGCTTCTATCTTGCTAGTTCTAAACCCAACAAGGGTTTTTTACATGCACACTTGCTAGTTCTTTCTTCTACGTTAGTTCTAGCTTCTATTCCCCTAGTTCTAGCTTGTATACCCCTAGTTCTACCTTCTATCTTGCTAGTTCTAAACCCATCAAGGGTTTTTTACATACACACTTGCTAGTTCTTTCTTCTACGTTAGTTCTAGCTTCTATTCCCCTAGTTCTAGCTTGTATACCCCCAGTTCTAGCTTCTATCTTGCTAGTTCTAAACCCAACAAGGGTTTTTTATATGCACATTTGCTAGTTCTTACGTTAGTTCTATCTTCTATTCCCCTAGTTCTAGCTTGTATACCCCTAGTTCTAGCTTCTATCTTTCTAGTTCTAAACCCATCAATGATTTTTTACATGCACACTTGCTAGTTCTTTCTTCTACGTTAGTTCTAGCTTCTATTCTCCTAGTTCTAGCTTGTATACAGCCAGTTCTAGCTTCTATCTTGCTAGTTCTAGCTCTAATTCATCTTAGTTCTAGGCTCTTGGGAACGGAGAAAAGCTCTTCCTACCTCCGACGGAGCCCACCGAAACACCCCGACGACCCCGGCAACCTCCTCCCACCTCCGGTAAGCCCGGACAGCGGCGAAAATCTCCGAACAGCGAAGAACAAACCTGAACAGCGAGAAATTGCACTGCAGAAAACTATAGTTTTGTGCCGACTTTGCACGCACTTTCTGATCGCCTCAAATCTCTGTTTCCGTCGATTTCTTCTTTGGTGAGTAGCCCTACATGTTGCCTATCACCTCCAATTTGTATCACGCTCTAACTCATTCTCTATCTCTCTCAGTAACATCCGAAACATCGCTCGACGGCAGCAGCGAGCAGAAAACAGCAGCGCCGTGCCGACTTCGCGCGTGCTTTACGGCCACCTCCGGTCTCCGTTTTCACTACCGTCTGCGCCGGTGTGTGGCCCTTTATATTATCTATCACACGGTATCTTCCTTTCATTTGGGCTCATTTTCTACCTCTCGTTATATTGCTTCGAATATCGCTCGGCGGCACCGTGGCAATTTCATTCATAGAGATACATTAATACACATTTTCGTTCTTTCTTAATTACGGCATTTCTCTTCATTCTCCTTCTACTCTACTTCTCCTTACCTTTATTTTTTTTCCTTTTCTTCTTCTAGCTAATGGATTAATGCTCTGTGCGTCTCGGCCAGGACGACGAGCTTGAGAAAGCTCTTAGTTTTAGAGAGAGGTGAGAGAGAGAGAGAGAGGAGAGAGAGAGAGAGAGAGAGAGAGAGAGAGATGAGAGAGATGATATGAGTGCTGGGTCAGAGAGATTGAGGAGAGATGATAAGGATAGTTTGGGAATTTTAGCTTAGCGGTCATGTGATAATTAATAAAAATGGGCTGCAGTACAAAGTGTCACACTTCAAGGGGCTGATCCACATGGAGAAAACTATGAGGGGCCTTGTCACATGAAGTTTCTGCTTTTGGGACCTGGACACATTTTTCCCAAAATGTTAACATTATTTATTATTATTATTATTATTATTATTATTATTATTATTATTATTATTATTATTATTTGGAATTAAGGGAAACATTGGTAAGGAACGATGATCCCGGCTGAAACCAAGTTAGATCCCCGGCACCCACAAGTAAACTCCGGGTGTACGGGATGTAACTACAGACCCGAGGGTCACCGCATCCCCCAAACGTGGTTTTGCTTGTACCCTACGTATATGGGCAAAGGAAGAGAACAGCTTTACTAAATTATGAAGAATACTATGTAGAGATATCTCAATCACTTAGTTCTCAAATCGCACCCCAGAAAAGCACTTAATCTTCCGAACAATCCCTAACGGCTGTAGAACCAACAACACGGAGTGTCAAATTAAGAACATCTTGAATCTATTGCTTCAGCCTACAAAGCTCGTCTCAATGCCTATTGCCGTCGGGTGGATCAATTATCTGCAGTCTGAATAAAGAACTATATGTTCTTTCCCTTGATGTTACGACCTAGATTGGGTGAATTCTCATCAAAGAAATTCCGCATGCCCTATTTATAGATTGGGTGGATCAATCGTCTTCCTTTGTTCTCAAAACTAGGGCTAAAAACCCATTGGTTCGGTAGTTAAAGACGATGCCTTATGGAATCATGCGCCGAAGTTTGGATCAATTTGTGAAATTTCTCTCTTTCCCCCAATTCCTGTGCAAAATTATTTCCTTTCTAAAACAATTATTTGCATTCTCTAGTGGTTTTTGACATAGTTGAGCAGTGGACTAATGGTGGTCAGATGGAGCGATGCGTTTTGTTAGCTATAGAAGTGCAACCAATCATAAAATTTGTTCCTCTTCTTATTCATATTTTCTAAAATAACCTTTTTATCCAAGTAAAATTATAATTTTGGTTTTGGAACTCCTCTCAACCGTCTTATCCCTTAAATCGGGGATGTGAGAGAGACTTTTCTGGAAATAATTTACTAAATATGCTACAGGTACTCGATTAAATGTTAAAGTTTACAAAACCGCCCATGAATTTGAGATTTTTGCGTAAGTCCATTAAGCTTGCAGAACCCCTCTGAACTTAATAAAATATTTATACTCTGTAAATTAACCATTGAAAAAACTCATATACATGTTAACCTGTATAGGGAAAAGTCCAAACATGAGACTTGATTGTCGTGTCGTTCTTCTCTATGAATGTTCTTCATTAATTTTTCATTAAAAAAACTGATTTCTCGAAATTATGATTTGAAAGTAATTTCATAAAAAATATCATTATTACACACTAGTATTTGATTAAAATAATGAAAATTTGTCTCTAGGCTCCTTTTAAGAGTCATCATGTGACCTAGCCCATTGACCAAAGTTAAATGAGTTTAAACCCCTTTTTCTAACTTTTCTTTCCATCCCCTCCTTTGTTTTCTTATCTCTAAAATACCATTATCTTCTTCATCTTCTCTTTCTTCTCTCATCATATCAACATTTTCCCTATTTTATTTCTCCTCTCTTCTCTCTCGTCCATCCTATCACCCCCTCTTCCCTTCCTCTTCACTCTATCTCTGTCCTCCTGCCTTCATTCTATTGGATATTTTGTATAAAAAATAAATAAAATAGTAAATAAATTATTTAAAATAATATACAAAAAGAAGTTGTTGGCTTGTACTGGGGCAGTCGTGATGTCGTTGCCCAAGAACAACAGTCGCCGTCTTCATAGAGGCATATCAACACAACCGTGAACTAGCGGTAAAAGCTCCCGACGTTAGCCAGCACTTGAGGTTACTAGAAATCTCAAACGTCTTACTTAATGGATGTTGTTTTGGGTCTTTGAATTATAACCAGCACAAGTTACAAATTCAGAGGATTACAAAGAAATAACAAAAACTTGTATTTGTAGATTCTTTTCTGTGTGCCAATATAGCATAGATGTTGTACTCTGTTGACGGTCTGAACTTTAGACGAAGGGGTCTTCTTACTGATTTTATGAAGATCGCCGAAGTTGTGCCAAGCTTAATTTATCTTTGAATGATAAGATGCTAGATGCTAGATCATAAGATCCTCATATTCCCAAAAAAATGAGCAATCTCTAGCCCTCTTATAGGCTAAGAGAGAGTTAGTGGTTATTAGATGTAGATTAGTGGCCATTAACTTAGGAGATAATGTGGGTGAACCGTTTTCATAAACATAGCTTTTAAAGTGGTCATGGACGAGGTTCGCAAATAACGGTCGTGGGCAAAGTTTTAAAAGAACAAGAGGTAAATCTAAACTACAAGCAGTAAAAGAAAGAAATAGAAAATCAAAACATAAAAGAGCAAGAAAATAAATCTACACTACAAATCATGAAATAAATCTATACTACAAAATAATAAATCTAATCTATTAAAACATGAAATAAAATAAAAAATAAAATCCTAAACCATGCAATTCTAAAATAAGAAATTAAAAGAGAAAAATAAAAACTTATATTGCAAAGAGTTGAACCCTTGTAAGCAAATCTTCATCTTCATCATCAAACTGACAGAAAAATTTTAAAAAAGATAAATTTTTATTTATTATAAATAAAAAGTTCACAATTTAGAAGGTCTTCTCAGTTAACAGTAGTCCTCCTCTCCAAAATGGAGTTTTTATTAAAAAAAATCTTCCTAAACCTCTCACTCTCTATCCCTCTCCAAAATGGAGTTTTTATTAAAAAAAATTCTCCCTAAACCTCTCACTCTCTATCCCTATTTGTTGCCTACATCAATCAACTGATTCTACTATGAACTAATTGGTTCGCCAATCAATTAGCTAATCGGTTGGTTAACCTTCTTAACATAATTATTTTTTTGTTGACCCGAGTTTTCTTCATCTCTTGGGCTTTGTGGGTCTCCTCTTGGTTTGATCTTAGGTTTCAATAAATGGTAAAAAAAAATTGAGGGAATTTGGTTCTTTTGGGCTCTTATTCATTAATTTGCCATTATCTGTAAATTAAGATAAAAAGTCATTGTCACGCGATATGTTTATTCAAATAAAATAGATAACAAAGATATAAAAGTGTAATAAAATGTGGCGATCACGAACCCTAGAAACAACCAAGAGGGCATCACCCATGGATTTTTACCCCGAAAACTTCCTACGTACTATGTTTCACGACCTCTACACGAGCTCAGCCCACGATTTTATCCAAGGTTAGCGCCAAGTTTACCACCAGTGGCTGCTCTAAAAGCCCCCCTGTGCTCATGAACATTATCAACTTCCATATATGAGGCTGCAGTATTACTTAGGAGTTCAAAAAAGCACGTCTGTATGCAGGGTACACTAATGAAAAATCATATTGCACAGAAATGTAGCCAAATTACTCTAACTCAACCCTTATTATCGATCCATAGATCGATGTCTTAATCAGTTACATCTAAGTTTTTTTGGGTAAAACCCTTCACATATTAGGCTTCAACATTAGCAGGGTGTTGAGCTAGAGAGGAGAGTGCTTCACCAGCGTGTGACCCTGAGGAAAAACGTAGCTTTCGGTATTCATGGTAGGTGAAGGTTTTGTAGAGCCTTGGGTGTTCAGAATCCACAAGCGCTGGCGGAGGCTCAACTATGTCGTTCTTTGGCGCTAGCAGGAACAACGCTATAGAAAATCTCTGTGCCGCTTTCTTGCACTGCACTCTGTGCTTCACGTTGTGTAGTCTACCATTGCTCCAGGCCTTTAAAAACCAGAGGTTCATACAATGAAAAGCTCATAATCAACATAAAATATAAGAATTGTTGACATGATGTGATTAATATTAGTCACAGCATAAAAATTAAGGTAGACATGGAACGGTGTCAGTTGCTGAAACCCGATAAAATCCTTATCATATAGAATGTGAGATGACATGTGAAAATGGCAAATCTCTTGGCTATTAGGCAAGATAGAGTGTTCAAAGTAGTAAATTGTGTATAAGTTGCAGATAACCCCTCATTTATACCTTCAATAGAATTTAAGTAACTTGTAACGTGTAAATTGCCGATAGCCCACCTCGTTTACTAACACTTATCGCTCCTGCGGTTGTAATTTGACAAAGATAAATTACGAATAACTCCCTATTTCTCACGAATAAAGGGATGATAAGTACTACTATGCGAGCTGAGAGGAGATCAACGATAGTAGAGAATGCAAGTTTGAAATAACAAGAAAAAAATTAGAAAAAAAAATGATGAATAAAAATACCTTCGCGACATCCCCGAGGTTGACAAGAAAGGATCCAGGAACTGGATTGACAGGTATGAACGAACCTGACTCGGTCATCACTTCGAGCCCGCCGACGGATTCATCTTCTTGGAGAACGGTGAGGAACCCTGAATCCGTGTGTATCTGGACGCCGGAAGAACCAACAGTTTCCTCAGCGAAGTGGTATTTGTTGATCCTGAATTGACTGGGCCAATCTTCGAATGAGTAGCCAACCAAGCCCAAACTCCCTGCGAGCTTGCTGGCTATCTGCACTATAAGTTCATGGAGCTTCGAAGCATAGGTCCTGATTGTTTCTCTGACGATCGTCCAGCGAACAAAATCAGTATTGATCGTAGTAGAGGTTAAATCTCATGCAACAAATTAACGAGCATTAATTTCTCTTGGTTAAATCTCATGCAACAAATTAAGGAGCATTAATTTCTCATACTAAACTTTGATATAAGGAAGAGCTGATCATCGCAAGTTCCATAAATTTTGGTAGAAAAAATAGAGACATCTCAAAGACACCATATATATATACAAGTTAAAAGAAGTGAAGAAATACATGACAATAATAATATTAAAAAGATAATTAACACAAGTAGTAACGCTGGAACAAGTTATAACCCAAAACTTAATTTGCTCTGCAGTTTTCGAGTTTTAATGTTAAACTAAAGCTAAAAACAGGAGAACAATTAATGTCATCCCATATATTTAAAAAGACAAAAATTAAAATATAGACAGTTTTGTAAAAGACGGTTGTAGTTGCAATTCTTTGTTTTGCTACTACCGCCATCTTTTCACATCAACAATTGCAAAAAATGAGCAACTCGATCTGTACAAAAACAACCTACCGTACGTAAATCTAGTTGTAACTTTTTTTTTTTTTTTTTTGCAAAAGAAAACCTAAAAACAACCTACCGTACGTAAATCTAGTTGTAACTTTTTTTTTTTTTTTTTTGCAAAAGAAAACCTCTGTTTTGCAACCATGCGACCTTTTGGCATCAACAATTGCAAAAAAAAAAAAATTAAAAGAGCAACTCTTTATAAAAAATAAAATTAAGCATGAGTTGTAAATTGACTATTTTTTTTAATTAAAAAATGCTATCCTCGCGTGCTCCGGCACCTGTGGATGGAGGGGACGCCTGCAGGGACAAAAGCCCTCCACGGCCCACGCGTTGCCCGGGTCGTAGAGCGCCGAAGCGCCTCGTAGACGGCGTTCTCCTTCTGCGGGCTCCACTGTACCCGGCCCTCGAGTGACGGTCACGTTCCTCCTCTTGACGTCATCGGGTTGATGCAAACAGTGCCGGCACCGCCGCCTTCATGGCCAGCCATCAGCTCCGCGGGATCCCGTGGGCGACGACCCGAAAGCAGCCGACGCCCTCGCAGGGGCGGCCCGAAGCTCCCGTCCCCCGCCGGCGAGCCTAGCAGGTCGATCACGGGGACCACCCCGTCGTCCATAGTTGCTAGCTAGCTAACGCTCGAGAGGAGGGCAGGGGTTTTCTTTCACCGGTCTGTTTGGATTTGGCGAAGACTTGTCAAACACGGAATGTTGTCGATGGAGTTGTTAGCTATTACTCCATTGATTGAAAGGACAAATTTTCCAAACGGAACTGTTTTGAATTTTATTTCCAAAAAAAAAAAAAAAAAAAAAAAATTTCAAATCCAACCTGTTTGTCAAAAAATTCCCAAAAAAAAACTCGTTTCAAACTTAATTTCAAAAACCGACCCAGTTAGTTGAAACTGGGTCGGTTTTTAAAGGAAAAAAAAACTCCTAAACTTCATAGGAGTTGAAGTATCGTGAAGTTTTTTATATAACATAACTTCACGGGACTTCAACTCCGGTAAAGTTTGAGATTTTTTTTTTCAAAAACCGATCCAGTTTCAGCCCAACTGGGTCGGTTTTTAAAATTAAGTTTGAAACGGGTATTTTCTTGGGAATTTTTTGACAAATAGGTTGGTTTTAAAAATTTATCCTTGAAATGATTAATTAATGTTTGGCTGCTAGCGGTAAAAAGCAGAGAAAGCCACGAGAAGGAAAATGTTAATAAATGTTAAACACGTGACCTTATTTTTTCTTAAAAAGATATGAAGGGAACCTTGGCGGGGCACGCACGAGTATTCTCAATGCTTGCTGCTATCGTCGGGTGGATCAACTGTTTGCGGTTTTTAATAAAGGACCATCCGTTCTTCCTTTTGATCAGAAACAATCTCTCTTAAGCTTTTAAAATAGTCAACTCCCTAAGCTATTGAAAAAAATCTCATATACACGTTAACACGTGTATAGTAAAAGGTTCAAAACATGAGACTTGATTGTTGTGTCATTCTTCTATATGAATGTTCTTCATCCATTTTTTCATAAAAGAAAATATGATTTCCCAAAATTACGATTTGACAGCAATTTCGTAAAAAGCTATTATTAATCAGTTTCAACCTCTTTAATACTTTCCCCAGCAAGTTGGATAAAAATGTGTCACAAACAATTAACTAAAAAACAATATTCAGGAGAAAGGACTCCAAGAGATTTTGCTGAACAAATTGCTAGGGAAAGTAATCCCTGTTAGCCAATTATGGTTAAAATTAAAAACTGCAACTGCAGTTGTAATTTATAAAAGAGCATTGCAATCTGTAAATGCTAAAACTTTGTACATGATAACACACAGAAATATGATTCAACTCTTTGTTCCTGACACAAAGGAAACATGCTCAAATTGACAAACTCTTCTTACTCATCAAAATGTTCAAATCTACTACAGAATTCAAAAAAACAATTGACAATCAACAAACCCCATATTTAAGGAAGAATTTCCTCTTGTTACAATCAAGCATCTCAACCAAACTACAGCTTGCATTCTTCTCTTTAAGAAGCTTATACCGAAACTCCAAGTTCTTCTTTAACCCATGTCGAAAAAACTCGGGATACTCAGTAATCTCCCCAATATCTCTCCCCATTATCTGCACCAAAAACTTAATTCTTGGCTCCAAGCAATTCTTCACACTCTTTATCAACACAAGAGGATACCCAGTAACAATCATGGCAAGCTGCCCCTTATTAAACCCACATCTCTTCAGAAAGTTCGAATTGGGTCTCAATATTTTCTCCACATCTCTACACAAAACCTCAGGGAAGTTCATCGCAACTTTCTTCACATCAATCTCATTCAATCCTATTGATTTCAGGAACTCCACTGTTGGCTTGAGTCGCCTCTCAACGCTATAGCCCATGATGAATGGATGCTTCAGCAGTATCTTACCAATCATTTCGCTTTGATCCAGGCCTAAACTCTCGAGAAACTCGACAATCTTAGAGAATTTGGATTCAATGCTGTAACTTATAAGCCTTGGATTTAATAAAAGGAGTTTGCCCACCTGCTTGTCTTGAATTCCTAGTGACTGGAAAAATGCTAGCAATGGGCAAAGCTTGTCTTCAACACTGTGAGAGAGGACATTTGGAAATTTCACAATGGCCGAGGAGACTTCACTCGGTTTCGATCCTAATGTCAAAAGGCAATTCACTGTGGGGATAAGCTTGTTGTCTAAGCTTAAAGTTAGGATTTTGGGGCACTTTGAGATGACACGAGGAAGCTTTCTCTCTTGAATACCGATGCTCGTTAAGTAGTTCCAGTTACCGTCGATGCTCGCTCTTTCGATGGTTTCTAGCTTGTTGCACCGCTTGAAGATGTCGTGGATTTGGTCATCGACGAACCCTTTTTGTTTGAGGAATCCAATGACTTGAGCTTTGTGGGAATTGGTGGTAGTCTCCATAGTTGTCGATGTTCTATGTTGAAGTAAGAAGATGGTTCAATGTGGCAATTTATCAAACACATTGTAAGCAAGTAGGAAAAATTCCTAGTTTAAGCTAATCCTCAAACTCTTGAAATAAGAAATGTTAAAGAGTCTAAAGTTCTTACCTTGACATTGAGAAAAATATTCGATTTTGGCCAAGGATGCTTCAAGAATCCATGAACGCAAGGTTCCTGCTCCAAAGTCCCGGAGTGTTTGCAGGAGCGAGGAAGAGAATATAAAGGCCTTATCTTTTCTATCCTCAATTTTCTTATCCCATAGAAAGAATTTGTTAACTTCCGAATCTGCCCTTCCTTATTTAACTATTGGAGTTTTTATACATTGGTCCCTCATATGTTCTCTAATTTGACATTAGCCCCTCAAATCATTGAAACTGCTGATATTATTCTCAAACCCATGTTCTAACATCAAAATTCACGGAATCTTGCCATGTGGGCGTCCAACTCAGCAATCGCGTTGCCTAGTCACGCCGGCGAGCCTAGCAGGTCGATCACGGGGACCACCCCGTCGTCCATAGTTGCTAGCTAGCTAACGCTCGAGAGGAGGGCAGGGGTTTTCTTTCACCGGTCTGTTTGGATTTGGCGAAGACTTGTCAAACACGGAATGTTGTCGATGGAGTTGTTAGCTATTACTCCATTGATTGAAAGGACAAATTTTCCAAACGGAACTGTTTTGAATTTTATTTCCAAAAAAAAAAAAAAAAAAAAAACTCGTTTCAAACTTAATTTCAAAAACCGACCCAGTTAGTTGAAACTGGGTCGGTTTTTAAAGGAAAAAAAAACTCCTAAACTTCATAGGAGTTGAAGTATCGTGAAGTTTTTTATATAACATAACTTCACGGGACTTCAACTCCGGTAAAGTTTGAGATTTTTTTTTTCAAAAACCGATCCAGTTTCAGCCCAACTGGGTCGGTTTTTAAAATTAAGTTTGAAACGGGTATTTTCTTGGGAATTTTTTGACAAATAGGTTGGTTTTAAAAATTTATCCTTGAAATGATTAATTAATGTTTGGCTGCTAGCGGTAAAAAGCAGAGAAAGCCACGAGAAGGAAAATGTTAATAAATGTTAAACACGTGACCTTATTTTTTCTTAAAAAGATATGAAGGGAACCTTGGCGGGGCACGCACGAGTATTCTCAATGCTTGCTGCTATCGTCGGGTGGATCAACTGTTTGCGGTTTTTAATAAAGGACCATCCGTTCTTCCTTTTGATCAGAAACAATCTCTCTTAAGCTTTTAAAATAGTCAACTCCCTAAGCTATTGAAAAAAATCTCATATACACGTTAACACGTGTATAGTAAAAGGTTCAAAACATGAGACTTGATTGTTGTGTCATTCTTCTATATGAATGTTCTTCATCCATTTTTTCATAAAAGAAAATATGATTTCCCAAAATTACGATTTGACAGCAATTTCGTAAAAAGCTATTATTAATCAGTTTCAACCTCTTTAATACTTTCCCCAGCAAGTTGGATAAAAATGTGTCACAAACAATTAACTAAAAAACAATATTCAGGAGAAAGGACTCCAAGAGATTTTGCTGAACAAATTGCTAGGGAAAGTAATCCCTGTTAGCCAATTATGGTTAAAATTAAAAACTGCAACTGCAGTTGTAATTTATAAAAGAGCATTGCAATCTGTAAATGCTAAAACTTTGTACATGATAACACACAGAAATATGATTCAACTCTTTGTTCCTGACACAAAGGAAACATGCTCAAATTGACAAACTCTTCTTACTCATCAAAATGTTCAAATCTACTACAGAATTCAAAAAAACAATTGACAATCAACAAACCCCATATTTAAGGAAGAATTTCCTCTTGTTACAATCAAGCATCTCAACCAAACTACAGCTTGCATTCTTCTCTTTAAGAAGCTTATACCGAAACTCCAAGTTCTTCTTTAACCCATGTCGAAAAAACTCGGGATACTCAGTAATCTCCCCAATATCTCTCCCCATTATCTGCACCAAAAACTTAATTCTTGGCTCCAAGCAATTCTTCACACTCTTTATCAACACAAGAGGATACCCAGTAACAATCATGGCAAGCTGCCCCTTATTAAACCCACATCTCTTCAGAAAGTTCGAATTGGGTCTCAATATTTTCTCCACATCTCTACACAAAACCTCAGGGAAGTTCATCGCAACTTTCTTCACATCAATCTCATTCAATCCTATTGATTTCAGGAACTCCACTGTTGGCTTGAGTCGCCTCTCAACGCTATAGCCCATGATGAATGGATGCTTCAGCAGTATCTTACCAATCATTTCGCTTTGATCCAGGCCTAAACTCTCGAGAAACTCGACAATCTTAGAGAATTTGGATTCAATGCTGTAACTTATAAGCCTTGGATTTAATAAAAGGAGTTTGCCCACCTGCTTGTCTTGAATTCCTAGTGACTGGAAAAATGCTAGCAATGGGCAAAGCTTGTCTTCAACACTGTGAGAGAGGACATTTGGAAATTTCACAATGGCCGAGGAGACTTCACTCGGTTTCGATCCTAATGTCAAAAGGCAATTCACTGTGGGGATAAGCTTGTTGTCTAAGCTTAAAGTTAGGATTTTGGGGCACTTTGAGATGACACGAGGAAGCTTTCTCTCTTGAATACCGATGCTCGTTAAGTAGTTCCAGTTACCGTCGATGCTCGCTCTTTCGATGGTTTCTAGCTTGTTGCACCGCTTGAAGATGTCGTGGATTTGGTCATCGACGAACCCTTTTTGTTTGAGGAATCCAATGACTTGAGCTTTGTGGGAATTGGTGGTAGTCTCCATAGTTGTCGATGTTCTATGTTGAAGTAAGAAGATGGTTCAATGTGGCAATTTATCAAACACATTGTAAGCAAGTAGGAAAAATTCCTAGTTTAAGCTAATCCTCAAACTCTTGAAATAAGAAATGTTAAAGAGTCTAAAGTTCTTACCTTGACATTGAGAAAAATATTCGATTTTGGCCAAGGATGCTTCAAGAATCCATGAACGCAAGGTTCCTGCTCCAAAGTCCCGGAGTGTTTGCAGGAGCGAGGAAGAGAATATAAAGGCCTTATCTTTTCTATCCTCAATTTTCTTATCCCATAGAAAGAATTTGTTAACTTCCGAATCTGCCCTTCCTTATTTAACTATTGGAGTTTTTATACATTGGTCCCTCATATGTTCTCTAATTTGACATTAGCCCCTCAAATCATTGAAACTGCTGATATTATTCTCAAACCCATGTTCTAACATCAAAATTCACGGAATCTTGCCATGTGGGCGTCCAACTCAGCAATCGCGTTGCCTAGTCATCATTCTTTACATCTTGTTTGCCCATGTAATCTCTATATAAATGAGTCCAATGCACAGCTAAAAGGTTCTATGATCTACTCTGAAACCCTGGCCTAATTTCGGCTGAATTTAGTATTTTTAATCAAGAGGCTAATTTAGGCATCGGCAGAGCTGCCAAAGAACAACCTATGTCGTCGATCTGACATCTTTTCTTTCATATTTTCAGACTGAGCATCAGCCAAGATCACTATCGATCTATAGGGACAGATTGAGAACCCCCAACCTTTAAATCCAATTCTCAAATTCATCAATCTCAGTTTCCTCGGCATAAACATTGAGTATTCAACATGTTTACATTTTAACGGTTGCATGCGACTAGTAGCATAAAATGATCAGATCGTGAACAATTTTATGCTCCATAACCCACATTTTAATGAGCATGACGATGGTGGTGGTAATAGATTTTTTTGGCTTCTAATATATTCACACTTTAGTTAAAATTGTGCTACATCGTTGGATATGAGAAGAAATTCCCTCGTATGACAATACCCATTAATCTCATGTTTATGACACAAATAACAATTCGATTGAGCGTGCATGCCAAAAATACAAAACTTGACTGGCAATTTCACATACAATTTTATACTTCATTGGAAAAGCATTAAAACGAGATATAGATTAGATTGCACTTCAAGGGATAAGTTTGGACTGAATTAACAAATCTATTCAGATACAGGTTTGCGACGTAGCTGCTGCCTACTTTGCAATTTGACCCCCACGAAAGTTTGGCTCTAACCTCATTTGACCATTGACCTGCTCATAGTTATGTTGAAAATATAAGTACATAACATAGTTTAAGAATCACAGGGTAGTCGTTCACTAACAAAAATAGTTTTAGAATTGATCCAGGCTTCATAACTATCTTTCAGTTTTTGCAATGGATCCACCAATGAAATTTCAAGGTAAGGTTCTTGCTATTAAAAAAAAAACATTTCTCTCCATCCAGAAGCTATGATCTTAAACTGTATCATCAAACACTAGACAAAAGGTTAACAAAACTTAATACTCAACAAAATATAGGAGATTTTTGAAGTCTTTGCTTTATCAACATATGTTCTACAACCCACACTAATTGCATTAGTTGCCAGAGATCAACAATCCAAGCACAGCCAGTGATTTATAAAGTTTTCCGACATATTTAAAAAAAAGTAAAAGAGTATATTCCAGTATCAGAAATTTTCAATCCAACTTCACAAAACTGTCAACTATTAAGAATTTCCAAACAACACAGAATTTTAATCAATTACAGCCAAGAATTTCTACCAACTTGATGTTTTAGACATTTGAGCAGGTATCAAAACCAAAATCTAAGTGAATTATTTGATACTCATAATCAATGAGGCAATAAATATATGTTATTGTGCAAAAGAGGGAAAAGAAAGAATACACACTTGTTACAAAGATGAACTCTTTAACCTTTCCCATACCTTAGCCCCTCCAGGGTGCAAACTAACAACATACTTTACAAATCTTGCATCTGAGCAAGCAAGAAGAGTACTCAATGCCACAGTAGAACTCACCATCTTCCTATTTTTAGTAGCTATCACCACCCCATTCTCTTTAAGCCATTTATACATCGCGAACCTTAGCTTTATCTTCTCCAAGTTGTAGCACAAAAATGTTGGAAATGCAACGAGAGACTCCAATGTATAACCCAAATCGTTCAAAAGGTAATCGAGCTTTTTTTGAACAACATCCGTTGATTGATTGAGCACGGGTGGAACTAATCTGACCATCTCTGAAACTGTGTGGCAATCTAACCCTGCATTCACTAGGCAATCGAATCTCTCTTGAAGTTGATCTCCTCTTCCTCGAAACTTACTTAAAGCTTTTGCCATCTCATCGGAGTTCTCAACAAATCCTAATTTCAACAAGAAAGCGGTCTTCTCCTTTAGAAATGTTCCTTCTATTTTGGGCAAGGGTGTGGAGCTCGTCTTTCTTCTGGAAGTTAGGACGCTGAATTGACTCGGATCCTTTTTTATAACCTCGCACAATTTCTTGGCCGACATATTTGAGTTTTCTAAGACAAGTTTGGGCTGCAAACAATAAGCAGATCCTAAAGCTTGTGCATGTTTAGAGACAATGCTGGCAATATCCTTTGATTCCATCCCGATCTCAGATAAAAATTGAACAGACCTCCATAAATTCTTTGTGAAACTTCCAGTCAGGATTCGAGGGTATTGCTCAAAAAAGAGTAAGATTTCTTCTCTTTTTAGACCCAATTTCAACAAAACTGCAACAAGGATATATATTTTCTTTCCAGAGTCATCAAAAACAAATCTCGGGTGCTCCTTAATAAACATGGACAATTCCTTCTTGTTGCATCCAATGCCATCTAAAAAGCGTAGCATCTCAAGTATTCTATTCCATTCGTACTTGCTCTTGTCCGATAAAGACCCTCTAATCCAATCAAGTTCAACCCCAAAATTCTTCAATTTCTCAAGAACACTTAGAAAGTCCACATTAATGTCACCAACCAAAAGGGCCGGGCAACAAGTTACCAACTTAATAATGGTCGGTTTACTCAACCCAAGCCTCTCATAAGCTTGAAGTTTCAAAGATAAAACACCAAAATCATATCGAAAGATCTCCATACCCTCTTTATACATCTTACCTATCTTACTCCGAGGTACACCATAATTACAAAGAACATGGTAATTCTCAAGCAGCACATCATCATCACTAAGATAAATCAAATTCTTCGGTAGAAGCAGGTGAAGCTCCGACGTTTTAAGACCCAAGCTCTCAAAGAAGGGCTCAAACTCATTGATGGGATGATATCTAAGGAACTTAGTAAGGGACCTGCCAACGTCCTCTTCATCATCAACTTTTGACAAGAGATTCTGAAGGAACATAGGAGAATTCTTGCTCACATGCTCGGCATCCGTGTAATGCAAACTTCGAGTACAATGCAAGTAATCAAAGAGAGCATTTTGGGCATCAACTCGAGTTACCCGAGAGATTTTGGACGACGAATGGGAATTAGATGATAGGTTTATGCTCAATACTGAGTAGCACTGCTTCTTGACATGGGAGACTCTTAAATGCATAGATTTGGGCAGTTGTGCAATGGTGACAAATTGGGATTTCTGCGATTTACTGAAAAAGATTGGATTTTTGCGCAAAATTCGAGATGGGTTTCTCCCAGAACCTCCAGTACCTTCTCGAACGCAAGGAACCATTCTTGAGAAACTAGCGATCAGAAAAAATCTGTAGGCTATCATGACTAATTAGGGAAGGGGAGAACTCAATCCACAAGGGATTTTAATGACCGATGGCTCACCTCAGAAAATTTTTCAGAAAGATTGGTTCTTTGGAGAGAAACCCTTTGATTTTTGAAGAGACTGTCGAGGCTGGGCGTTGGAGAGATCGCCATTAGAGGTGAGCCGAGGTCGTCAAAAACCCTAGCCCTGCCGAGGTTTTGGAGGAAGAGGGGTTAGTTTGGGATTTGGGAGATCACGGTCGTCAAATGGGTGAGGATTCTATTGGTCGACCCGTACCCGACCCGTTAATTCTGTTACCGGGTAGCGGGTCGTGTAAGTGTTCGCACGCTCCATCCTTGCACCAACTCGTCACCCGGCCCACCGTCATTTTTTTATTTTTTATTTTTTTCCGGGTGCAAATTTCATACTATCAGCGGTGAAAAAGATGATAGCGAAAGCAAAAGTTAATCCTAATATTATTTGCCAGACAACAGATGTTAAGGGGCTGTTTGTTTTCTTTTTTTTGAGAGGGAAAGATGGGGAAAGCCTGCCAAAAGTATAGCTTTTGGCAGACTTTCCACCCAAATCGCCTCTAAAAATGACGATTTGGGTGGAAAGCCTGCCAAAAGCTGCATTTTTAGCAGACTTTTAACAGGCTTTCCCCACCTTTCCCTCTCAAAAAAAAAAGGAAACAAACAGCCCCTTAAGCTTTCGCTTTTACGTTGAAAAATGTTGAGATGTGTTAAACTGCTCAAATTGCCTCGATACAAGTTTAAGTAGTGGTTATTCAAACAACAACAATTAATAACGACGAAATCTTTATTAAAAAATTATGTAGCAGATTCACCATATGAAGGTCGACACCTTATAACTTACATTGCTTTGCGCTTATATGCGCTTATATGCTCTAAGCACTTTTTTGATATTTGAATAACCTAGTGTTTTTAAAAGTGATATTTACCATCGCTTGGTTAAACGTTGGCCATTTATCTTTTAAACGTTGAAATATTCATGTGAAGATTTTTATATGGCTTGCACATAGGGGTACGTGTAAACAATCGGATTCGACTCTGATATGAATCTATCATAATCGTTTCTATTTATTAATTATGGATACGGATACAAATACAGATACATATATATATATTTCTCGATGAAGAAAGCTCATAATAATGTCCTCTAAAATTTAATACATATACGGATACACACACGGATATATATGTGCACATATACAAGCAGATATAAAACAGATACGAGAAAACCAAATAAGATTGAAAAAGGGTTTATATGATACTAAAGAGCTCATTAATATATTTATTATATTTGAAAATCTAATATTAGATAGTCTTGATCATCAAAAATTTCCTCAAGTTCTTTAATCTAACGATTAAAACCGTTGATATTACATGATCAACATATCTCCTGATATTTTGATCACAAAGTCGAATATTTCACTATCATTCATATTCATAATCGTATCCTATCAATGAGAGACACACACACAAACAAATACTAATATGAATATATCTGCTTACTTGCACATTAAGATGTCGTCAATTACACCCCAAAATTCAATAGGGTCAAGCGAAAAAAAGACTTAAGGGCATGCATATAAGTGCAAAGACATGCAATCTATAAGATATTTATGTGCTATTAAACCTTAAGTTCCATATTTTTGTTAACTTAATTTACTTGGTTATTTGAACCTAATAAAAGTTACACATGCGCGCGGTTACAAATTCAAAGAATTCGGATAGAATCTTCCAAGTCTATTCCATCAAAAAGACAGCTTCGCTTTATGTGAATATTTGGCGGGTTACCCAACGAATCATCTTCTTTTAATAAAAAGAAAAGTATCGTAGAAATTCTTGTCCCCAGCAAGAAATTTGAAAATGGTCAGCAGCTTCACCATCGGTGACCGCACCGCACCGCACCAGAAAGAGAGGCTGTTGTTGTCTGATTTTGAAAACCTGCCACTTTGAGCCCTTGTTCATCAGCAATCTTCTCCATTTTACCATGTCGATCTCTTGAGTCAATAATCTTCTACGTTGAACTACTGAACCGACCGCTTGCTGTCGTTACTTAATTAACAGTTTAGTTTTTTTTAGGTGAGATCTATTCTATAGAGGTACTCAAATTGGATCAGTGATTAATTTCAAGATTTCATCGTAAATCTAAATGGTTACTTTTAATTATGTAAGTCAGTAGTTCAAACCGTGCTAAAAAATAGGGCATTTTCCTTTGACATTGGAACTTCTGTACCGGAAACACTGGTATATCTGATTATAGCCTCTCTGGAATGTAAAACATATCATGACATGAACTAATCTGGGTTCGAGTTCTTAACGAGGAAAATATTAGATTGTTCACGTGTATGGCATTACTGGAAAATGTTTACATCAACATTTTTGGTTTTAGTTAGTGAGACTATGATGTCGCTCAAAATATCACCTCTAATTAAGTAAGATTTAAATCTCCGTGCTTAGAGATTTGTTATATAGATTCAAACATCTAATAACACAAAATAGCCGAAATGAAATATATGGGATCAAATATGGGCCAAGCTGACACACACACGTATATATGAAGAGACTTTTTATCAACGGATAGAAACTTTGATGGATGGTCCACTTAAGTTGACATAAGTTTTCTCATTACTTTTTGTACCCATTATGGCTAAAGAATTGGGTGTTTTAGATTTCAACTTCCTGCTCAAAGCCAAGGAATTTTTTTTTTAAATAAATAGATTAGCACCTATGTATGTATAGCACACATCATCAATTAATTAACACTAATTGTCAGGAAAGTAATTGTCTCTTTTCTTTTGCTTTCTCTCAATATATAATTGAAACCAATGAGCCAAAGCTTAGTTTCTCTCACTGAGCTAAAGATGGAAGGGGAAGAAGGGATGAAGGCAAGGAGCTTCAGGGATGAGACCTACAGCAGCAGCAGAAGAGTTTTCTTGAGGAGCTACCCTCTTCAATGGGAGGGTGGGGAGGGCAAAACAGTAATTGACGATGGTCATCACCATGAGGAGGAGGTCACCAGGTTATCATTGAAGTGCAAGCTCGCAGCTATTTTCCACTGGGGGGAAGGCAAGTTGTTTTTTTTTGCTTAGGAAAACTCAAGGGCAAGGTCGTCTTCTATCTTGTTTCTTGTAGACCTTTTGGTTTCAAGTCATCCAAAAGGATGCTCATGACCGTGTAAGGTGATGAAACTATGGCTTGCTATCGCATGGTCGTCTACCTTCATATATGCTCTCCCTTTTTTTGTTACCGAAGATTAATGTGGGTTGCGTTAACATGTGATCTCCTATACTCTGTTCTTTGCTTGATCATATTTTTTTGGAAAATGATTTAAGGGTCTAAAATATGGGACCAAGGGAGGGGACAAGTGAGGTATCCCCTCCCTATTTCATAATGAGTTAGCCCGACCCAAAATATGGGACCAAGGGAGTGGACAGGTGAGATGTCCCCTCCCTATTGCATAATGAGTTGGTCATGCCAACTCATTATGCAATAGGGAGGGGACACTTTACTTGTCCCCTCCCTTGGTCCCATATTTTGGGTCCCCGTAGCAGCACTCTATTTTTTTATTTCTAGCAAAACTACTCATTTGGCTGTCCCTCACTCGATGGCTGGTGATTCGAAGATCATTTATCTTTATCTTGTAGCGTAAAGCAAAAGTTCAAACGTAATCTCTCATACTCTGTACTCTGCTTGCTCGTACTATTGATTTCGGGTGAAACAACTCTCCCGACTGTCTCCACTAGAAAGCTGGTGATTCAAAAGGTTACATATTTTTATTTTGAAGAAATTTGCAAAATAGATCTGTTTTGCTAAATATTTAGCAAAATAGACCTCTTTTTTGCCAACCGGCTAAAAAAAAGTTGATTTTGCAAAACAGATCATTCGAAACATATGAGACTAGCTAGTAGTCCCGTATGTTTCGAATGGTTTGTTTAGCGAAAATCGACCTCTTTTTGGTCTGTTGGCTAAAAAGAGGTTTATTTTGCTAAATATTTAGCAAAATAAGTTTATTTTGTAATTTTTTCCTTTTATTTTATAGCGTAAAGCAAAAAAAAATTCGATATGAGCGCACGAGGGCTTTTGGAATTCTTATTTTCTTGAAGCACCCCATTATCAGGCAAACGATCCACTGAATAGTTTTTTCAATTCTAAAACTCGGCTTTTCTTCTTAAGCATTCTGACTGACCGATGATTTTCCTTTCTCCTACCGTCCCAAAATATGCAAGTTTTGGTAAGGTATCCATCTAGATTTCTGCTTAATTCATCCGCTAATAATCTTAGACAAGGATGAGAAAGCAAAGGATTAAATATTTGAGTTACACACACGCATACACTATAAAGCTAGAAAAAAACTTTGAGTGGATATGAGCTTTCGTCCGCCAACTTTTTAATCTTTTGATCTTGCTTTGAGATTCGTGCTACACATCGATACTATCTTTGAGATGCATACCTGGATGCGTATCACATAGTAGCACAAATCCCAAAGCAAAATCAATGGTCAAAAAATTCAGTAGACAAAGAGCACCTATCTACTTGAATAAAGAAGAAAGCTCAAACCCTGAATCTCTCTAGTTGCAGTGACATATTTTTTTGCTTAGCTTCTTCATTAACTGCTTCAAGTAGCTCCAGTCAGCTTTTGGTTGGTTCAGTTTGTCTTGTTGGTCATTTTCACGCGGCAGTACAGTAAATTTACTAGGAAACACAACAAAATCCTCTCTAAAGAACAACTAAACAGGAACATTCCGTAGTCAGCATCCTACTAATCTTAGATAACTTAATCATCCAGGCTCATTGCAAGAAATTTTGCAGGTGGCACAAGAAGAGTGTGTAAAATTTCGGCAGTGTCAATAAGCTTACAAATAAAAGTAAGGATTTCCAACTTCCATTAGAAGTTTGCCTACGCTCCCAGTAGTTTTAGCATTCCCTTGCATCCGATATAAGCTTCCACGTAATAATCCAAGATAGTGATAGATCACCTGTACTTTGCTCTTTCACTTGATGGAGAGCTCAACATAAGCCTGTCAAAAAATCTCAACTGTCCTTCAAGGTGGTTTTGCACGTAAAGTAGATTTATACCAAGTATTTGCACGAGAGATCAGCAGGAGCTGCATGATTAACTACTACTTCTATAGCAACAAAATATGCTCTTTAAGACCACATCAACAAGCATCCATGGATCAGGCAAGTAACAGATTATGAAATGCCACCTTCGAGGGGAAGCATAGAGTTTAAAATGGAGCCGTCCTGCAAATGAGAATGAAATTCAACTTAACGACAATAGATTACATATCGAGACAACAGGTAAAATTGGAGGACCAAATGAATTATTGCCGTTTAACGCAAAATGATTACTTACCCCATCAATCAGTCAATCTTGTATTTCCTAAGAAATCTCTTGCTTAGTGATAGCATAATGACAGTGAGCAGAATCAAAACAACAATTGCACCTGAAATGAGGAGAATGTTGACTATAAACACATAAGATTAACATAAAATATGCCTCCTATTCACTAGATTAAAATAAAAATTGAGTTTTTTCCCCGCTATTTAATGAACACCACTTGAAATATTTGACATTGAAATATTGCTGTAGTTATCGATATGTCATATAGCGAAAACAAACAACCTATAAGAGTAACCATCTAATTGGATTGGTGAAAAACTCCAACAGAGTAGTTGAGTTTCAGAAACAAAATCCACATTCCCAGAGTCCGTTCTTGATTAAGAAAGTTTTCCTATCTAGTCCTCATTACACAGATTACCTTTATTGTGAGTGCCTCAATGTATGTCACCAGCTTAGAGGAAATTTTATCGTAAACATGTTTCCTGATAAATATGCAAGGCACATCCACAATATTATGTAGAAACACCACAAGCGTTATGAAGAACTAGATTTCTCTTGTTCATGATATAAAAATTCTCTTTGCAAAAAGCAAAAAAAAAAAAAAAGACATTTGATAACAAATTTCTGGAAGATCTTTTAAGAACTACTTCAAATAATATGTCGAATTTTCAGTTCAAGAAATATAAATCTTGGCCCCCAAACCTCCTAGCAACACTATGACCTGCTAAACAGGTGAACCAATGGTTCAAACTTCTATAGTGATAACTATGCGCTTGATCTAGATTTCAGTTGGAACCAAATTAAATTGAATATTGAGATATTCATGTTTAAATTAGTCTAATCTCTTTAAATTCAGATTAATTTCAATGAAACCGAATTCGAATATGGTTCTTTCAATATGACGAATTTTCTTCAGATACCAAATACATTTCTACTTGATATAACGTAAATAGCTTTTTGAACTATTACATTAAAGAATCTTTTCATTTGGTTTAAAATTCTAATACAAAGAAACCATCTGATGCAAACAAAAAAAGAGTTAATTGCGGATAGACCCCTGCAGTATAGATCAAACTGCGGCTAGACCCCTTGTAGTTCTGTTTATGCAGATATACTCCCTGAGTGATTTTTTTGTTGACTCTTTAAAAGAGCAAAAAAAAAAAAAACTCAGGGGTCTTATCCACATTTGGGCAATAGCACAGGGGATCATCCGCACCAATAGAAGTAGAGTGGGTCCACCCACTATTGGACGATTTTACGGGGGGTCTATCAGCAATTAACCCATTAAAAATACAAAGAATAATATTTGGTGTGTCAATGAGGAGTAACATGGTACACACAGTATATACTGAAAGGATTTGTAGTTCCTTAGATATGTCGTTCAAATAAAAAATCCATTCTGTTCAGGTTGATTTTCTATCTGTACGCACATTATACTGATAGGGTTTTCTATTTGAATCCTGTCAATCGGGAAACAAATCATAACTCTGATCAGGAGTGATCTTGTATGGTTAAACGCCCTAACAGTTGAACTAAAGCAGAAAGGACCTCACAAAGGAGAATAAGTTGACCTATTGTTTCCGTAAATTAGCAAGTAACCTTGTCCTATTAAGGTGCTAGGTTGCTCTGGATCCTACTACTCGCTGGTGTAGCTCAGTAAAAGGTTGACATATTCAATTAAAAGTTTCAAAATGACAGTGTCAGTAAGCAAAGGTGCATACCTATTAAAGCTCCAAAAAGTAGAAAGGAAAGACGATATCTGAGAAACCATGGAAGGTCAACTTCAAGGGTACAATGCTTCTGATATACTCCTCTTGAGAGTGTCTTGTGTGTGTATCCTGACTGCAACTCAGAAAGTAAGAGCTCTACCCCAGTAACAGGATTGCCATTCACATCTCTCACTTCGATTTTGATACTTTGTGGACTTGCATCCCAATCTATTTCAATTACTCCAAAGTTTGGCTTGCCTGAACAAAGCCATCAAAAAACTTAATTCATAGTAAACGTTTATTTCTGGATGATGAGAGAGATTTAAACTTAAAACGAACATAGAGAAACAGTAAGCATGTTTCCCCTTAATTTAATACTTTCTGAGATGAAATCCAGAATAAAAGTCTAATACCAGCTTGCATCCAAATCTAAATATGGATTCACTGCTAGACCCAGAAATGTCAAATCTATTAAAGTTGTGCATATACTAGAACATAGAAGTGTGCTATAAATTTGTGAAGCAAGGTGTTTCCATTTGCAACCATGACTTGGAACCTGATATGGATGTCAGTCTCAGACGACAAAGTAGAGGCTCACTATTAAATATTAATAGAGTAGCTACGGACAGACATAGAGTTGTACTACAAGCAATATAAAAAAGAACCAATGTTAGAAAGCATTTCCCGAGAAAAGGTTTTATAGAACAAACATAAACACATATGAGGCTTGGTTTTAATTTTTTCCCCCTATGCAGCATGATTTTAATATCTTATATATAAGTCATATGGTTTTTCACAGTAGTATACCATATGTGCATGATTTGTATCGGCACTTTGGGGAATAGACTCTCAGAGTAGATGGTATCAACCATGCTGCAGCTCTAATAAGGAAAGGTAGTGGCTGGGGCACAGCATTCTCGACAGACTGAGTAAGTCCACTTGACGTTATGTCATACAAAGGATAATCAGTACCACAGTCATAACGTGCAATCTCTCCAAAGTGAACATCACCACTGATAAATAAGATTCCATTTCTCTGCATGTTAAAAACACAAAGGATCAATGCTTGAAATTTCATCAAGATACTTGAATAAGATTCCATTTCTCTGCATGTTAAAAACACAAAGGATCAATGCTTGAAATTTCATCAAGATACTTGAACAAAAAACTCATGTGAAGATTATGCTAAACACAAAGGATCAATGCTTGAAATTTCATCAAGATACTTGAACAAAAAACTCATGTGAAGATTATGCTAAAGGTTATATCAGGAAACAAAAAACTATTAATTTCAAGCCCCAGAAAAAGCAAACCTTAAAAAGTGTGCCATTGGAGTTACAATATTACTAAGCCATGGCTATGTGTGATACTAATGCTAATACAAGACCAACTTTAACCTCTTCCACAACATATTTTGCTAGGTATATCACGTCAGTTGTTCAAATGTACATTCTGAAATAATGGAAAAACTGTCATAAAAAGCAGAATACGGCTTTACCAATTTATATAATCAGCTTGAAAGTTCAAATATTATCACAGAACATGATGTCAAAATAAAAGTAAGCATACCTTACTATCAGCTATCAATTCATATAGTCTCTTCCTCTCCTTGGGGAAACGTCCCCAAGATTCCACATAGAAATATGGACCAGTTGATGCAGAAAGATTTGATATAACCTGAACAAAGAAGGCAAGAAATGATGCAATCCTACATGTATATTAAACAAGACAACATGCACCAGAAATATCTAAAATCTTTTTAAAGGACAGTCCCAAAATAGTCCAAATGATCACTTGGATGCACCCAAATAACAATGATGCATTTACTTATATTATTGTCATCAATATCATAGTAGTTGAAAAAACTGTCAGAAAGGACAATCCAGTGGTAGGAAAAAGGATTGTTCCGACACACCTGAATAACATAAAGCTCACTTGTTATTATCATTACCATTATCATAGATATATAAAAAATTTAATAAAAAAATGACCATCTTCATTCATTGTGATCCCTCCTCTTGAAAAATTAACACATGATAGATGAAATATGTTACTCAAATGCATTTATACATGAGCATGCATGTGCCTGAGATATTCAGTCCTTATAATTTTTCATACATACATACATACATCAGGACATGAATATAAGTAGCACATATCATACATTTTTAGATGGGAAATACATGTTCTAGCATACCACTCAGGAGATTTTCTCCTATAAACCTCCTGCATAAAGATTGGGGCAACAGTTGTGTTATTGTATCACCAGTCTCCAAACCCTGGCGAGTTTGTTTGTGATATAGCACTCATCCAAGCCACAACCTTCAGATGTATGAACATCAGCAAACCTCCTAACTTTTTGTCAGAAAATCGCCTGCTTTACAGGACCACATAGCATGGGATCTTTGATTTGTGTATTTCTCAGCTAAAAATCTCCTTATACATACACATATATATAGACACATACATCTATGGGCCAAATACAACCAAAAGAATGTTTCTGATGCCCCTCAAGAACATCTATGATGCATGTTGAAGTTAAATGTGCTAAGTTTGTTTAATTTCAGTTTCTACAGGAGTAACCAGAGTAGTTTATAAATAGGGATGTTAAATTTAGTTACAGTATCTGGTGTTCATGCTAGGGTAAGTTATGATAGTCACCGTGCTTTAATAGGACTCAGTCGTAGTACTTGAAGTTATGATGCATGGACACGGACATGGCGACACAGACATGACAGTACATGACACAATGATACATCAGACTCTAAAAACTCCAAATAAAAGAGAAGTATTATGTCTAATAGGTGTGACCAGCATTGAAAAAAATGCATTCATGTTATTTCAAAAAAATTCAATATAGTGTATACTATTTCAATATGTTGTTAGTTATTTTGTTATTTCAAAATAGCTTTGGACATCTGGGAATTAAATAAAACTCTACACGCAGGAACTATACCACATTTGGCTCCATGTGCGCAGTTTCTATAAGATTACTTCGTAACAACACCATTGACAATTTGACTACAAGTTAGAAATGTGGTAGGGATCACCAAAGGGAAACTTACAGTATTTAGCAAATGCCAAAAGGACCATGTTTAATTTCTTATGCACCAGCTATGTAGCACGGACACGGATCCGACACGGCCATCCGACACGCCGACACGAGGCAAATCCTAAAAAATACATAGGATACGTGTGTTCGACACGTGTGTCCGACACGGACACGACACGACACGGCTTCATGTTATGCGTGTCCGTGCTTCATAGTGCACCAGTCATGGCTATGCAGCTATGTTTAATTACTTCTGCACCAAAATAGTTCTATAACAAAGTATCTTCAGAAGCACAACTGTCACATCATTCATTACTTTTGGATACTAAGAAAGGTTTGTTCTATAGATATATAAATTTCTAACATGCAAGTGCATTAGAAAGGAATATGCATTCTCCCATTACCTGAATAGAAGATGCTATAATGGTAATCTCTGATCCAGGACCACTTAATTCCTGTTGTAACCACTCCCATTGTGTCTCACCCAATATACTTCCATCACTGAAAAATGGATCCCTATGGTATCTAGTGTCCAAGAGAATAACCTGCAACGCCATATCCGGAGTAATTGCTAGCATGTTACACACCTCCAGCTTGGTGGAGCATATACAACAAGATATACAATATCAGAACTATAAACATAAATTTTTTTTCTATACAATAAATCTCATATATAGGGAACAAATGACTGACACTGCAAGGAACTCCACAAATGTAATAACAGCAGTGAGCATATGAAACAATTTCAATAATAGAGATAGAGTGCAGGGATTGATTTAGCTCGGATCTCTTGAATATTGTGCCTCGGATATAAATGCAGTTCTCTGAGTGGTTCTTATTTTCTCCTTCATATAGGCTATTCCTTGATCAAGGAGATATTCTGAGCTTTTACCCATAACATAGACTTATAGTCTCAAAGTTTTACGGAGAGCCTCATCTCTTTCAAAGGATTCCTTAGCTAGGAATTTGGCATTGAATTGACACAGGTAAACAGCCAAATCATAAAATATGTTCAATGGTTGCCTATAGCATTTTCAATTCAGAATTTTGGTCTATAGTTAAACCCATTGTGAAGTGAAGGGGCATAGATGATGATAATGGTTGCATGCTTGCATGTTAACCCAAGTAAGCAAATTACCTATTTCCTGACAGTGGTCAACAACATGTCAAGCAAAATAAACTGGCAGCAGTGAATTTTCACTTACGGACCTTTATTTGCTTCCCAGTGGGTCCAAATAAATAGGAAGCATAAACACCAGCTTGTTTTCGCCTACAAGAAAGAAGGCATAATGACAAATGCAGCAACGTAATGCTTGCGACAAATTCTACTCTGAGACATGTTTCACGTAGAGGCTTTGAAAAATATGGGTAAGATGCAATCTTAAGTAACCAAGAACACAAGCACAAATGGGTAAAATGGGGAGAAAATTTTCAGCCAAAGTGCACAGAATCCAAGAGAAAGTTGGTAGGACAAGTAATAACAATATAAACCAAACCATAAAGATGAAGATCACATGACAACCATATACAAAAATTTACAAGGATCGATATAAGATTCAAGATTTATATTCATCAAACTATGGAAAGGTACCATCTTAACATTCAAATTATACAATGTTACAACCATATTAAGCCATGATAATATGATGTTACAAGTTGATACAACTCTACATAAATACAGGAATACTCAAAAATTAAATACAACATGCCACAAGTACAACAATGAAAACATGTTAAGCATGTAATATATTTTACTATGCTACTTTGATGTAAAATACTGCTTTTATATTACTTCTATATACATTATAAATGACGTAGTACAAAAGGCATCAAATTTGCTAGAACTAAAAGAACTTTGAACAAGTTAATTTTTCATCTAAACAATAAATGAACATAGTAATCCTATAACAATATTTCTTGAACAGTCTTTTTTATCCATTTTCAAGGAAGATAAACATAAAAACATTCACAAACCAAGATGAATTATGAACTCCACCAATCAAATATCAACTTAAATTTATCATCTGGGATCTGTATAGAATACATTAAAATACACAAACTACAAAGGTGTCAGCCCTTAAAGTGGACAGTTAATATCAATGACATACCGTACAATGATTCTGCTGGGACTATGTAATGAACCGTAAAATACCAGCTGTGATTGAGGTCTTCTACCAATGTTCTAATATCTATTCTCATGTGTCTATATATACTCATACCCACACAGAATGACACTGGATAATGGCTTTGTTCAAGAAGCACAATATTCAAGCCTACCATAAGTTACTTTATTTTCTGTAGCAAGAAATCACCCCCAGTGTTAAACTTCAATATTATCAAGAAGGTGTTTGGTAACAGTTTGCTTAAATAATATAGCTGATGTAGATACCTATGTTTTCCCCCTCATACCATGTCCCTCTTTCTAGATTTTAATAAAGGCGGCGTGTTTGTCACATGAATGCATGTTGACATGGGTCCTCGCAAGGATGTCTCTAAATTATAGCTTCCAAGTGCCATCTGCCATGCTTATATTTAAATAAAATTTATGAAAGATTTATGGAGTCTATTTGAAGCACTCACCGAGGGCTATCTTCAGCTTCATCTAAGAAATCCAAGAGGAGTCTTTGGCTTGTATCTTTCCCACTAAACTCCTTCCCTGCATCATTTAGTCCATAATCATGATCATCCCATGTTCCAATAACCTGCAATTTTCAGTTGATGCTAATAATATAAACCAAGTATATGAAGAAAAATTACAAAATGACAGAAGATAAATATGATGTTTTTTACTGCGAGATGGATTTAAAGAACATATATAATGGCTGGTAGTTAAAGCACACATTGCAACCAAAAGATATAAGCAAAAAAAATGCATAATAAACTAATGACAGGAATGATGCAAGAAAAGGAAAAATGTTCAACTACTAGACAATAGAGATTAGAACAGGCTGAACAGCCATTGATGATGACTGGCTTCTCACAGCAACCATCAGAGGCCTAACATATGTTGACATGTTACATTCAATCTATTATTTCATTGACATTAGTGCTACCTCAATCTGTTATTATAAGCATTCAAAGGTCAGGGGCTTCCAAGAACATAAATACTATTTGACATCAAGATATTGAGGCACATAATAGATATTGCGTCTTGATGTGCCAGACGTTTATGTATCTCCTTGATTATGACATGGGTAAACAATTTGTGGTTCCATATCAGAGCCCTTCATCCAATCCTCATCACAGAGGCTCATCTACTATCCATGTTATCACGGTAACAGTCTCTGAAAGTGATTCCAACTCATAGTAGCTGTTAGATAGTCCCCACATTCCCTGCCCCTTTTGTTGCAATAGTGAGCCACTATTTTTTCCCCCTGAATTGATCTTTTGCACATTTGAGTAGGATTCTCCATGATTTACTTGGACGAAAGCTTTAGTGACTACAGGTAGCATTTAATTTATCATTTTCATGGCACGTATGGTAATGCTAATGCTTCTCTTTCCAAAAAAGTTGAAGGACTGGTGCTTCGTATAGGTCAGACGTGAAGAGCAATGCTACGTTGCTAGGTGCAACAACTTCGTACTCCTTAAAGAAAATAATGAGCTATCTACACATACAAAATTGAAGTGGCTAGAGAAGAAGTTAAGATACCTTACTCCGTCGTCTTAATGCAGAGTATCCTGGATTGCTCTTCGCTATCTCATAGCTCTTCTTCAACTGCTCCTCTGACGATGGGAAGAATCTTGGCACATTTTTCCAAGGACCAATAGTCCTCTCCTTCCCAAGAATGCTAAAAGGACGTCGATTATCTCCATAGATATTGTCCCCCAACCAAATAAAAAGCTGGGGATCAAAATCAATTATGGCATTCCATATAGGCTGCAAGTCATCAACATGCATTCTGCGAATTAAAAACCAAATAACAAATAAAAAGACAAAAAGAATGCAGCAAATTAAAGCTTTGTGTCAGAGAAGACAGGTAGAAGAACATGTATCCTGAAACTAAAATTAAATAATAAGTAAATAACAGTTTTCAAGCAGAAAAACCATGAGGGTTGATTACCAACCTCACGTCAGACAAGCAAGCGTGCTAATGCTGCTCATATATGTGGTGGATAATGATATGACTCACTGAGAAGTATCTCATCCACAAAGAATATCACAATATGCACAATGGAAGACTAGATCATTATCTATGCAAATTCCTGACTCAGATTAGAAAATCAGCATATATATCCAGTTAATAACAATTAACAAAGTTGTCAAATTTCATCTCCAACGGTTTTAAAAGCCTCCTGTAAGTGCAGAAAGGGGGAAACTTCTATGTATACAAGAGAAGCATGCGACTTGACTCAAAAAGATACATCCTAATTAGTAAAGTGTTTATTATAGGGGTTTTTTCAGAGAAACCACCAAAAAAAGGGTAGTTCTACAAGAACCATCTTTGAATTTCAATTCATACATAAACCACCCTTTAAAGTGACGTGTTGCAATCAACCACCTCATAGTCAAAATTTCACTGAAAAAACAAAAAAAAAACCTTAAAAAAATCACGTTCAATATATGTGACTTGTATCCTAACTAGACCTAAACATTAACAAAATGAGTCGCGTGCCTTGAATGTGAGTTTTTAAGGGTATTTTTGGATTTTAGTGAGAAATTGACTATGAGGTGGTTGACTGCAACACAAATCTACTTTAAAGGTGGTTTTTGTATAAGTTGAAATTTAAAGGTGGTTTTAGTAGAATTACTCAATTTTTAAGGTGGTTTCTAGGGGGAACCCTTTATTACATAACATATATTCCAATCATAAACCCTTACAGCTATGTCAAATGCAAAAAAATAAAAGAGAGTTTTTCAACACTAGTCCATTAAGTCTTTAATTTGAAATTAGTCCTTCAAATCATTGAAATTGCTATTAGGTCCCCCAATTTTTTATAAGTTATTTCTACATTAGCCCCTAAAATCATTCAAATTGCTATTAGGTCCACCATTTCTTATAAATTGTTTCAAACTAGTCCCTCCAATCAAGACTAGTGGTAGCAAGATATAAGAGTTTATGGCCTAACAAAAATTTCAATGATTCGAGGGACTTATTTCAAAAAAATTTAAATTCAAGGAACTAATATTAAAAAAGAACAGTAAAGCTCTTGATTTTCATCTCTTGATTTTGCTTTGAGCTTCGTGCTACAATTTTTCTTTGAGCTTCATGCTACACATCACGGCTATCTCTGAGTTTTGTGTCTTGATGTGTATAACATGTTAGCACAAGTCTCAAAGCAAAATCAATGAATAAAAAGTTGGTGGACAAGAACTCTTATCCACCTAAGTTTACAACAGATTTATGTCATTAACTAATACCATAAGTGCAAACTTACAGCTTTATATTTATGACCCCAGTCCCTACTCTTACCCCCTGGGCTATCCCCCCCCAAAAAAAAAAAAAAAAAACAAAACAAAAACAAAAAAGCACACTCACACAAAAAAAAAACCCTAATCCCCAACCAAAAGAAAAAAGATATATTTTTAGTGCTTAGATGGCCATTGAACTATTGAAATCATTGCATCTTGCCCCCCGAATTATTTTGGTCCCACACCGCCCCCTCAACTATCACTTCTCATAATTTTAACGAAAACACCAATGAAGTAATTAGCCAGAGATGGCTATTAGGTACTAAATTTGATAGTTTAGAGGGAATGCAGGGACGAATTTAATAGTTCAGACTGTAAGGTGAGGCTGAAAATAGTTCAAGGGGTAAACATGAACCTGATATTAATAGTTTAGGGGCCAAAGCGAGACAAAAAATAATTCAAGAGGTATTAAGGGACAAATTCAATAGTTTGGGGCGTAAGTACGAAGTAAGGATTGAACCATAATAGAGCTCAATCATAATTATGTTACCTTGATTCGGTCTTGTGTGACCAAATCAACAACTCTCATGTTGTGAAAAACATGGAAAAGTTGTGAAAAACGTGAAAAATGAGTTTGTTGAGAGAAAATCTCAAAAGGACGGTTATGAGGGGGTGGAGATGATGGGTTTGGCCCCTATAAAAGGAGGATCGTTCTCCTTGAGAAAACACAACACATAATTAAAAAATCAAACTCTCTACCCATTACCGGAGCCCCCTCAAAAAATCCGTGCTCTTTCTTTTCCTTCTCTGTTGTCGAACACTAGTATCAGAGCAGAAGGTTCTCCATCATCTACGAATCCCACTGCCATTTTCCTAATAAAGAAGTAGCTCTCTTTCTCCAACTTCTTGAAGAAGCACTCTCTGTTGAGCTAGCCTACTCTTTGAAGAGGAAACACTCTCTGTTGAGGTTTAGCCATAAAGCTCATCCGTCCCACATCCAACCTATTGTTTTCGGTCCTACATCCAGGCTGGGCCTGGTTGTTCAGTACTCTGCATTCATAACCCTCCTGTTCATACCCGGCCTACATCCAGCCTATTGTTTCATAGCCTAGATCTAACCTCTTTTTACTAGCCTACTGTTTCATATCCTAATCTAGCCTATTCATAACCTATTTTGTCAAGTCTTGTCACAACCCATTTTTTAAAATTTCTCAAAGCCTGACCTACACCTACACCTTCAAGACCTACTCCTATCATGTGGCCTACATCTTCAAGGTCAAGGTTAAGGTCGACGAGTCTCACTACCGCTGCATCTGGGGAAGGTGACTCGTCCTCACGGCGTCATAACTTCGACAAATGATCATTCGGTCAACGCCACTTAGTGATGATCTCGCTCTAATTGGAGCTTCCTTTCTCAACTCACAAGAATTAGGTTCTTTTAATTTATTTATTTTATCTAACTTTATTCTATTTTTAGTATACCAACTTTATACATATTTTAAATTAGATTTTAGCTTTAGTTCTCTACCGAATGGCTAGTAAACTCGTTCTATCAGAACTATAAAAAATTGACAAATTTAATAACAGTAATTATGACATGTGGTATAGAAAAATAAAATATGCTCTTATTCATGACAATATCAATGATGTAATCGAAACCACTGTTCCAACCCTTACTGATAAATCTACAACTAAGGAAAAGAAAGGGTTTGAATAGTGAAAGTCGAAAGACAAAAAGGTAAAAAACATTATGCTCATGTTCATGGAAGATAACTTAATCAAAGTTTTTAAAACTTATAAGACTCCATGAACATGTGGAATGCCATAAAAGAAAAATACGACACCGCCTCTAAAGTTAACATTTAACCCCTCTTGCATAAATATAATTCTTGTCGTATGTAAGAGGGAGACAATGTCATAGAGCATATAAATAAGATGACTGCCATGACTAAGGACTTATCCACTGTTGGGATCGAAATCCTGAAAAGAATGCAAGTGACAACCATTTTGAATAGTCTACCCCTTTCCCTTATTGTGGCTGCCACCACATTAAGAATTAACTCTGCCATTAAATCTGTCACTGATCTTTCTATATACATAGCGATAGAACAAGACTTAATAGCCAATAGGAAAGAATCAGAACAGAATATAGTGTAACAAGAGCTGAATTATGTCCGCCTGAGGCATAATATTAGAAGCTATAAAAATCCTGATCCTAGCAAATCACAACCGCGAGGACCGAAATCACAGTAGTTCAAGAGAAAGAAAGTATCCCACGGAACCTGCTATAATTGTGGAAAGTTCGGCCATTTCAAGTCCAATTGCCCGCAAGATGAAAAACAGGAGAATAAGGGAGGCTATAAGCATATAGAACAAAGGGGTACTAGCAAAAGAGAATTCATCGGTGTGACGGAATGCAATGTTGTGATGACGGATATCAGCGGTTTGTGGATCGACTCCGGTGCGATCAGACATATCGCAAATGATAAGAATGGAGTTACAGAATTCACCGAGTTGAAGATAGGAGAAAAGAGAATCTATATGAAAAATAATACCTATCTCGATGTAGAAGGTATTGGTTCGTATAAATTGGATCTTGGGAACAGTGTTCTTGTCCTCAAAGATGTGTTCTATGCACCAGGAATTCTGCGCAATCTGATCTCTGTTCTCAGTTTGATGAAGAAAAAACTGGAAGTTAGGTTCTACAATAACCGAATTTCTATAGGAAAAATAATAAAGTGTATGCTATGGAAAAATATGTATCCGAGCATGAATTATTCATTCTTTCAGTAGTTTGTAATAATTTTGATAATAAAATTTTGAATTTGAACTACTTGTCCTGTTATATTTCTGAGTCTGGATTGTGACATTCTAGACTAGGACATGCTACTATTTTAAAAATAAAAAAAAATTATCAGAATAAACTTACTTTTTGCACTATCTAATGCTCAATCGTCATCATGTGAACATTATTTAACTGGTAAAATGACTAAAAACCTTTTATTGGCGGACAAAGAGTCAATAAACTTTTAAGGTCGATACACTCGGATATTTGTGGTCCCCTAAGTGTCAAAACTCATAGTAATAAAGAATATTTTATTATTTTTATAGATGAATATTCCAAGTTTGCACACATCTATCTTATATCTAGCAAATTAGAGGCTCTTGACTGCTTTAAGAGATATAAGTCAGAAGTCGAAAACCAACTTGAAATGAAAATTAAAATTTTAAGAACTGATAGAGGTGGGGAATAAAACTCCAAAGAATTTGAGAGTTGTTGCATTCAGCATGGAATTAAAAGGCATACAACAATATCGTACACATCACAACAGAATGATGTTGCTGAAAAAAGAACAAAACATTACTTAATGTAGTTAGATGCATGTTGTCTCATTCTGGTCTCTTTAAATTTTTTTAGAGAGAAGCGTTATTAACTGCAAACTACATTTTAAATAGAATTCCCACCAAATCAGTTGTATCTACACATTATGAACTATGGAATGGAAGAAAACCTAATCTGAGTCATCTCAAGAAGTGGGGATCTATAGTCCATGTTCTCATTCCATATCAACTTAGAGATAAGTTGGATTTTAAAATAATAAAGTGTAGATTCATAGGGTATTTAGAAAAGACAAAAGGTTATAAGTTCTACAATAAAAAAATGGTCATTAAAAACAGAGATGCTACATTTCTAGAGAACCTAGAGGAAGAAGAACAAGTTCGAGAGGAAACAGAATCTCTAACTGTAATAGATGATAATTATTAAGATGTAGTTCCCACTAATGACCCTGATATTGTGAATGAACCTAACCTTAAAAATGATGAAATACATATGACAAATAATGTACCTTATCAACCGATTGTAGGCAACCAAAGACTAAGAACACAATCTTCATGGATGGATGATTACTATTTATATTCATGTGAGTCATCTTGTTTCTCGGTCGATACAAATATAGAATAACAAGATCTCTTAACCTTCTCTGATGCGATGAAATCACCTGAATCAGCTTTATGGCTAGAACCCATGAGAGAAGAACTTGATTCTATAGAAAAAAATAATAATGTATGGGAGTTATGTGATCTACCGGAAAATAGAAAAACCATAAGATACAAATTGGTGCTTAAAAAGAAATATCGTGTTGATGGATCTATTAATAAATTCAAAGCACGGTTAGTTGCTAAGGGTTACAACCAGAAGGCAGAAATAGATTTTCAGGAGACGTATTCTCTTGTAGCTAAATTTACATCCATTAGAATCATTTTGGCTATTGTTATCCTGATATGGAGTTATTCCAAATGGGTGTTAAAACTGCATTCCTTAATGGAGAGTTGAAGGAAGCAATATATATGCAACAACATGAAGGTTTTCAGGTGAAATGACAGGAACATAAAGTTTACAAATTAATAAAATTATTTTACGATTTAAAACAGTTTTCTAGACAATGATATCTCAAATTTCATGATGCAATCACTAAACATGATTTTATTCAAAATAAATTAGATAATTGTGTATATGTCTTGAAAAGTGAAAGAAAATTTACTATAATATCTTTATATGTGGATGATATATTGCTTGCTAGAAATGATATAGAAATATTGAATAAAATCAAGGCAGATCTTAGCGAAAAGTTTGAGATAAGACATGGGAGATGCATCATATATTCTTGGAATTTAAATAATTCGAGATAGAAAATCTACAATGCTAAGTTTAAAACAAGAAAAATATTTAAGATCAATTTTTAAAAGGTTTGGAATGGAGAATGGGAAAGAGATTATGTAAAGAGCAAAACCTGGAGATGGGCAAAAACCATTAGATGTACCTTAAGCTCGAGCAATTAGAAGTTTGATGTATGCAATGTTGTGTACCAGACCTGATATAGCTTATGATGTAAGTCTAGTCAGTCGATATCAAAATAATTCAGGATTAGCACATTGGGAAGCTATTAAAAGAATTATGAAGTATATCAGATGTATATTGACTCATAGATTAGTTTATGAAGCAGATTCGGTTGATCTCCTCGGTTATTCCGATGCTGATTTCGGATGTGATAAAGATGATGAAAAGTCCATTTCGGAACACTTATTCATCTTTAGAGGAGTTATTTCTTAGAGTAGCAAGAAACAATAGTGTGTTGCTAGATATACGCAAGAAGTTGAATATATAGCTTGCAGTATGACAACTACAGATGTTGTCTGGATAAGACGATTTTTGATTGATCTAGATCTCAATTTGTTAGAATGACCTATTAATATTTACTGTGATAATCAAGCAGTGATTAGCTTGATCAATAGCGGCACGAATAGCTCCAAAAAAAAAACACATAAGATCCAGTATCACTATATTCGAGATATTGTTGAAAAGGAAGAAGTTAAAGTGACTTATATCTCTACTACAGACATAATTGTTGATCCTTTAATAAAAAAAATACCAGCGGAATCTTTTATCAAAGATGTAAGTTTGATTGGACTTAGAAATAAATAAGTCCAAGTAAAAATTTTATACATAATGAAATAAAAGTTACTAGTGGGAGTAATGGTAAGAAGTAACATCTGATCTCATGGATAGTTGAAGGCATGTCACTTGGTTAATTTGGTCAAATGGGAGATGTTACCTTGACTCGGTCTTATGTGACCAAATCAACTACTCTCATGTTGTGAAAAACGTGAAAAAGTTGTGAAAAACGCGAAAAATAAGTTTGTTGAGAGAAAATCTCCCAGGGGCGGCTATGAGGGATGAAGATAATGGGTTTGGGCCCTATAAAAGGAGGATCGTTCTCCTTGAGAAAACACAACAACACAGAATTAAAAAATGAAACCCTCTACCCATTAGCCCTCAAAGAAATATGTGCTCTTTCTTCTCTGCTGCCGAACAAATTAGTGTCATGAACGTCGTCTGCTCTAAGTCGAACAACCGTATAATCTTAAAAAAATTTAAAAAAAAAAGAAAGAAAGAATTTACCTGATCAGCGCTCTGATTAGCGCAGGAACCGAAGGCGATCCGAGACACGACAGCTGGAGACGCCGATCCCGATGATGAAACCCTAACGGAGACGAAGAATGCAGCGGCGATTGCGAGGATTCGGAACGCCATTAGAGAGATTTTTTTTTTTGCTTCATCAGCCCGTGGCTCGATCTTAATAAGGGTTTTGAGAATGGAGAGAGAAATCTCGGGAGCAGGAGTGGGCCCCTTGTTTCGAAGAGCACCACTTGGCGCCACTGCAGTAGATCCACGTCTATTTTAAGGGTTTTTTTTTTGTTTCACTGTAAACCCAAAGTCTTACCACCTATTTATTTCTAAACCCATCTACTCTCACGATGTCCATGTTACGAAATGTGATTTAATTTTAAGCCCAATTGTTATTAAATCCCATCCAACCACATTTACGGTGGCGGGATGATTTCAACTTTAATGTAACTTCACACACAAGCTCTCCATCCGGCATTTGACATAGATCTTCATGCTATATTTAGATGCGGGTGTTTTGATAGAATTTGTACTCACTTTAATATCTCTCTCGTCTGAATTTGCTTCGCATAGACACCTACATCTATTTTCAACACGGAATGTTGCACAAAAAACTTAGTCACGTGAGACGCTCTCATTTACGCCCATTCTTAGAACCTAGTCCCGAGGTTATTGAAGTAAGAAAGCTCTTTGGGGTCGGAGGAGAGATTTGTCGCGATTGAGACCCATTTTAGAACAAATATGGGATAAATTTTCAAAATCATCCCTTTTTAAAATTTATTCCCCAAAAAAGACCCTTTTCAACTTTAATTACAAAAACAGACCCAGTTGGATGAAACTGGGTCTGTTTTTGAAAAAAAAATTCAAACTTCACGGGAGTTGAACTCCCGTGAAGTTTTTTCTCATAACAAAACTTCACGGGAGTTCAGGGAGTTCAACTCCCGTGAAGTTTGAATTTTTTTTTTTTCAAAAACAGACCCAGTTTCATCCAACTGGGTCTGTTTTTATAATTAAAGTTGAAATGAGTCGTTTTTTATAAATAAATTTTAAAAAGGGATGATTTTAAAAATTTGTCCAACAAATATGAGGCTTTGGGGTTTATTTTTCAGAAATATGAAGAATTGGTGGTCTAATTTATAGCTAAAAAAATTTTGGGTTCAACAAAATTAAAACCCCAAATAATATATTGAAATTTAGAGGGTTCTTTTTTCCTGCGAACCATTTAAAGTATGGCCATTATATAAAAATCAAATTTAAGGACGAAATCAATGTCCTCCTCCTCCGCATCAAAACACCTCTTCCACCTCCTCCTCCGATGCGCGCCCAAAACCCTCAAATGCGGGCGCTCCTCCACGCCCACCTCGTCAAAACCGGCTCTTTCGCCGGACACTCTCCTCACAACGCCCCATCAGCCTCTACTCCAAATCCCGCAGCCTCGCCGACGCCCACCTCGCTTCGACGAGCTCCTCAGCCCCGACGCCGTCTCCTTCAACTCCCTCATCAACGGCTCCTCCCAGCAGAACCCGCGCCGCCCTCGCCTCTTCAACCGGATGCGGGCCCTCGGCTCCTCCCCAACGCAGTCACCTTCGCCGACGTCTTCACCGTTGCTGCGAGGTGCTCCGCCGGTGGAAGAGAGGCGCACTTCGTCGCCCTCAAGACCGGGAGCTGCGACGACGTGTTTGTGGGCAGCTCACTGCTCAACATGTACTGTAAGCTCGGGCTCGTTCCGGACGCGCGCAAGGTGTTTGATAGAATGCATGAGAGGAACTCGGTGACTTGGGCGGCTATGGTCTCGGGTTACGCGGGCGGGAGGTGCGGGGTTGAGGGGTTTGAGCTGTTTAGATTGATGGTGGGAGGGGATGAGTGTAGCCCGAATGAGTTTGTGATTACTAGCGTTCTTAGTGCGGTGAGCCTCCCCGAGTTTGTGCAAATGGGCATTCAGGTTCATGGGTGTGTGATTAAGAATGGGTTGGCCTCGTTCGTGGCGGTAGAGAACTCGCTGGTTACTTTTTACTCCAAGTGCGAGTGCTTGGATGATGCAGCTCGAGTGTTTTTTTCATCAGGGGATAGGACTCCGATCACTTGGTCTGCGATGGTAACTGGGTATGCACAGAATGGTGAACCCCTGAAAGCTTTGAGATTGTTTTTGAGGATGCAATCGGAAGGAGTTCGACCTAGTGAGTTCACGTTCGTCGGTGTCCTTAGTGCTTGTAGCGATATGATCTCTTTCGTAGAAGGTAAACAGATTCATGCTTACCTGGTGAAACTTGGATTCGAGCTTCAAGCTTATGTTAAGAGTGCATTGGTCGACATGTATGCTAAATGTGGCAATCTTGATGATGCGAGAAAAGGGTTTGAGGCTTTGAATGAGGCATGCGGTGTGGATACAGTCTTGTGGACAGCGATGATAGGAGGCTATGTTAGTAATGGGCAGGAAGAGGAAGCTCTAGCTTTGTTTGTCCTGATGCAAAAAGATTGCATTTTGCCTAATAATCTCACATTTGCAACTGCTTTTCGAGCTTGTTCTAGCCTTGCGGCTTTAGAACAGGGAAAACAAATTCATGCTTTGGCCCTTAAGTATGGGTTTGGTTTAGGCATTCCCCTTGGAAGTGCTCTATCCACGATGTACGCGAAGTCTGGGAATCTTGATGACTGTAGGCTTGTCTTTAGAAAGATGCCTCAAAGGGATGTTGTTGCTTGGAATTCAATCATCTCGGGGTTCTCTCAAAATGGGTTTGGAATGGAGGCCCTAGATCTTTTCGAAGAGATGAAATTGGATGGCGTAGAGCCAGACGATGTCACGTTCATCAACCTTCTCTTTGCTTGTAGTCACATGGGGCTCGTTGAGAGGGGCTGGAGTTATTTTAAGTCTATGTACGACGAACACGGTTTGGCGCCTAAACTCGAGCATTATGCTTGTATGGTTGATATCCTCAGCCGTGCTGGATTGCTGGAAAAAGCTAAGAATTTTGTAGAATCGGTCCCAATAGATCACAGAACGTGCCTATGGCGTATTGTGTTAGGAGCCTGTCGAAAGCCTCAGTATTTTGATATAGGAGCATATGCTGGTGAACGGTTAATGGAATTGGGATCAAGGGACTCTTCGGCGTATAATTTGTTGTCCAATATTTATGCGGCTTGGAGAAGATGGGATGATGTAGAGCGAGTTAGAAGAATGATGAAATTACGAGGGGTAAGCAAGGATCCAGGGTGCAGTTGGCTTGAACTTCATAACAGGGTTCATGTGTTTGTTGCTGGGGAGCATCTGCATCCAGAGATAGTGCATATATATACAGAAGTGAAGAAACTAGTTAAACATATGAAGGATGAAAGTTATCATCCTGCCTCTTCACTGTCTTCCCAGGATTACTTAGAATTGCATATAGATTCTTCCAATGAAGAGGAGCTGCCATTATTAGCTTCGATTGGTTCTTAATAATTTTTCATGAAGAGCACAACTCTATGAGTTTCTGCACAGATGAGGATTGATTTCTGAAGGTAGATAACTCTTTTTTCCAACCGAGCACTGCGTTCGCTCTGAAAACCAATCCTGGTATGAACGAGATATTGTACCATGCATTTATATGAAAAGGGGGTAGACATGACGACCTTCGATATATTATAACTAATCACAGATGATGATTTTCATCTTGCAGAGAGCATGTGAACGTAAAACCATGGCTCTGGGTCAAGAAGTTTCGCTACGCGGTTAGTTCTCTTTTATTTTATTTTATTTTATTTTTTTAGTTGCTCTATTATTTCCTTTGTGAGTGTTGCATGTAAATAGGATACTGGTTATCATAGACCTATTTATTACTAAACTGCTTCTGTAACAGTACTATGCTCAACCACAGGCAACCAGAGGTATCACTTGTTTCAGGTGATATAATATCTTTGATGATTTATATTGTTAGACCTGTGTTACTTCTTATTGTAGATGATGCAGTATTCGGTGTCAACACGAGTACTTTATTTCATTCCATCCATTTTATTTATTGTTGTTTTTTTTTATCATAATCACATTTAGTGGATAAGCAGAATTTTCTTTCAGCCTCGTCAAAGAGATTCTGAATGTACATCATCTGGTTGGGATTTCTCACTGCCGTACGCAGAGCCTTGCGTCTGGAGTGAAATCTCGATGTCGACAGTTGAAGATTGCATGCGGGTATGCGGACGTCAAGTGAAGTCGAGGCCCTGAAGAAGCTACTTTTGCCAGGTGACGGTTCCATTAGAGTCAGCAAAATCACTTGGAGCAATGCCAGCAGTGACGACGGGTTATGACTAATGAGACTAAGGCTGCTGAACAATTGTATATGCGTCTGAAACCATAAGAAAGAAACCACATTTTTCTTACGTTTTATGTATCTTCAGGAATACATGTTCCTAAATTTGATGATTAGCTTATAAAATGTAAATCCTATGGCAAGATTTTTCTTTTTTCTTTTGGTCACTACTATACTACACTGTTTATTGGAAATCAACAGGCCCAGTGATCTCTGTTTAAACTTTGTGTTGTCTTTTGTTCGTCGCTTACATTGTCCTGTTATTTTGGTATATTTTACTAAGCTTCGGTCGGATATATTTGCATCAACAAAGGTGTAGAGTCTTGAACAAGAAGCTCGTCTGAATCTGCCCAAGTTTACTAATCTTGGCTTGTGAAGCATGAAGAAATACGAGATAATTTCCGCTCTTGCAACTATACAATTATAGAAACTGGAGAAATTGAAAGTTCAACGCAAGTTTCTTTTTTTTTTCGGCCTATGAAATTCGATGAAGCCAATAGGGAGCATATATCTCATTTTAAATCGGCTTACTCTGCTTCCAACATTATCCAAAAGGAATTTATCGATAACTAATAAAAGTTAGAGGTTGTACGAGGAAGGCAATAATTGTTGGTTTTACAAATTAAATGAGTTCATCTGGCTTTCTCTGGGAGATTAGATGCCTAGTGAACTTTATCTTCCTTTTTTCCCCCCTCTTTTCTTTTGCTTTTTGATCCTTTTCATTTTTACTTTTTATTTGCAGTTAATCCCCAACTTTGCCCTCACATTCAACTCTGGTGCCCAATTTAAAAGCCCCGACAGCAGTTACAAATCTAATAAAAGCTCACGTGCAAGCTCGGGACAAAAAATTCCCCAAAATTTCACTCTCAGCGATGAAAGATGCCTATAATTGCAGAATGGGCAGGCTTTTCATATCAAAAAGTCACCGGAAAAACTAAAAATACCAAATTGGTAAAGCCGTATTAAATAATTAAAAAAATTCTGCAACAGAAAAATATAAATGGTAAAATACCCTTTTCTATAGATGCCAGCTCATAGGGCAAAACAGCAAGTTCACAGCGACCAGAGTGCAATAGGGAGCCAGCACTAGCAGTGACCCCTGCAAGTAACATACAACATGTAATAATAAACCAAATTGTTGCCAGTCTGCCCATTGTACGGGGATTATTTTGGCGTACACAAGGACTATTACAAAACTAAATTAAGTGTCTTGCAGTCAGCAGCAGTGCTCCGCATGAGCAATTAACTCTACTAAAACAACATGATTAGAGTAATAGACTTTGTTTAACAGTTATAAAGTACAACATCGATACACACCATCATCATATATCCACATAATACATTTGTGGTGGGGGGGGGGGGGGGGGGGGGAAGGATTAGAATTCAGTGACAGTACAATCAACCGAAATGTGGCTTCTTCAAGAAACCAAGTAACAATATGATACTGCCTAGGATATGCTTAAATTACCGACAGAATTAGTACATGAAAAGGTTGGGAGTTACGATGGTGAGGTGCGCCAAGCCAGACGGCTGTGTGTATCTTTCAAACTTCTCGCTCTTCTGTACTCGACTTCCGCATCCGAGCACGACTGTCCTGATAAAAACCTCTTGCTAAGTTGTCGACGCAAGGACTTTGAAAGCCTCTCCTCTCCTCCCTTCAAAGAAGGGAAGCTGCCATCAGATGGACACTTTTGCCTAGAATCTGCACCAAACCATAGGGGCAAGACATACTTCAGTAAAACTGGCAAAAGCAATCACTATGGACTTGGTATAGTATTAAGCGTTATTTGCAGATAGACCCCCTGAAGTATCGCTATTTTCCACTTACTACTACTGTTGTTTAATTGTTGCAGACAGACCCCTAGGTTAATTTTTTTTTGGCTTTTTCGCCCTGGGTGAATTTTAGCAGAGATGGCCCCTGGGGGGTGAAATTTGTGAGTCTACTTGACGTTAAAAGAGTTATAAAAGGTTAACCTAGAGGGTCTACTTGTAACAATGATAAGTACAAGGGCAGTATCAAAACAATGATATTAGAGGGGTCTATTTGCAATTAACCTAGTATTAAATGGAATTTTGATCATATAGCACGCACAATGGTTCTGTGCTACAAGCATCAGATATCTGTTTCCTCTAATAATTGGATCGGTTATATTCAATAAAATATGACCTTCAATACATGCTAGAGAAAACTCGATCCATGGTACTACTTTTCAGGTCGAACTTCACTGTAACAAAAAGTAAGATTATTCACCTGCATGATTATTGCTGGAATGCATTCCTTCATTATGGCCTCCGCTGCCACTCTCATCTGACATTGCCTTTTGAGTTTTTGTATGTATCGCTCCAATTGTTTGACCTCCAATTGTTAATTCAGTTACCGGGAAAGGATCTATACATGGCTTATTGTTACCAAAAGGAGACATAGTGAAGGAGTCATCAGCAGCTTCAGAAATCTCCACATAGTGCTGTGTACTGATGATTTCATCTGCACTAAAACCAAACGATGCTCTATACGCTTCAATTTCTTCTACGTCCTGTTTGCAGGCTTTGTTATGTCTATTTGCAACATTTGAATAAGAATCCGCCTCCCTTGAAATGCTCAACTTTCCAGCAGACTGAGAATAAGATGGAAATGACTGTTGAGCCTGATCTAAATAAAATTGTGCAGAGGTAGCAGGGCGGAAGAAACTAGAATCTGTAGACATGAAATTCCTAGAGCTAGAAGAATCAAATCCAAACAACTTTGATCCACTCCTAGAATAAGGGGAATCACGAGAAGTACCCCATTGACTGGGAACCTCCTGCTCAGGGAAAGGGGATGATAACCCAGTCCTAGGAGTTGCTGAAGCAGGCGATATGAGACTACTTGAAGGACTTCCAGGATAAAGAGGATATGTCGCTTGAAGATCACTACCAACAGAATAACCTGATGACAAGAAAGGCATACTGTTATGTTTATTGGAACCTTTAAGCTCGAGCGAAGATGAAAGGTATTGTGCATAAGGAACATCGGGAGATGAAGGTGTGGTTAAGTGAGCTAACTCAGGAGGTGGGGTCAAGGGAGCAGTAGAGGGTTCGGTAGTAAAAGTTGAGAAGACAGGAGGTGAAACCAATTGGGTTTCATGCGCATATGGCCCTGTCATAAACATGGTTGATGTTGGACCTCCAGGAGAATTGGCAGACATTGACATGAAACAGCTGGGTGACTGGGCTGTGGAAGGAAGGGCAGAGTTTGTAAAAGATGCTGGTGATGATGGAGGAGCAAGAATAGAAAGGTTTAGATTTGTGTTCTGATTAGGAGGTCCAGCGGACTGAGACCCGGTTCCACGACTGGTGGATATATTTCCATCACTAACACGGGACGCAGGAACGACTCGCTTGTTTCCCTTCTGTGATCCAAAACAGCTGAAAATACCTCCCCATCTGCTTCTCTGCCAAAACAGGCAAGCACGAGTTAGTCAAATGATTGTGCATCCATTAGTTGTGATTATAAATGTACATTATCCAGAAACAAGTACTGATGAACTAGGTATGAAAATTTTACATATGGCCAGCTAGGAGCTAGAACAACTTACAAAATGAATATACTACTTATAAAACAAACTTATCTTTACCAATTAGTTATGCACAATATTACATACTAAACGAATTGACAAGATAGCCTGATTAGTTTTCATAATACATTTACGTAAGGCGAAAAGGCCCTAAAAAATCAAAAGAAAAGCCACAAAAAACAAAGAAATAAGCAAGAGGGAAAAATATACATATTGGGTTATCTATAATCTTTCTTTCCAAACCAATGTAAAAGTATTATGTCTTTCCAAAATCGATGAGAACGAATAAGACTCTGGATGAAGCAATGATACCATTTTCCCTAATTTCAATATATGGTTTCCATTTCAAGAAAGAATTCCTAACACCAGAACTGCTTATCTCTGCATTTGGCAATGGGTATCAACAGGTTAAATTGGTTAACCCGTCACTAACCCTCCAAACGGGTTATTTTCATCAAAATGCGGACAAGCCATTCATAACGGTTATATTTGTTCTACCCCTCATTTAGAGGGATTTAGTATTCTGTATAAGAAGGCGGAATAAGATACTCTGCCTTCCCACGCAAGGTAGAGTGCAATGTTATCGAGGCTCGAGGCGATGCGGCTGCAGCAAACGCGCCCCGCACCAGAGGCGGGGCGCTGCAGGCTAGCGAGGCACGCGCCTGGCACGCCCATCGAGCGCACGGAATGGTTGTGCTGGTGCGGGCTGCTCCTGAAGCAGGTTTCGGGTTAAATGGTTTTCGGGTCTGCATGCTATCCTCAAATCCCATAAGAGTTTACAGTGGCTGCCCTCTCCCAAATCTTCTCCACTGTCTCACTCCTTCACCTAACCTGCCGACCGACGCCGCCGGCCTGCCGCGCGAAAACCGCCCCCCCCGCCACCGCCTCAGGTTAGTTTTTTTTCCCAGTTTTTATCTTTTCTTGTTTTCTTTTTTTTTCTTTTTGACTGTCTCACAGTGGCTTCTTTTTTTCTTGTTTTCTTCTCTTTTTTCAGTTTTCTTCTTTTCTTCTTGTTTTCTTTTTTTTTCAGTGGCTTCTTTTTTTGACTGTCTCACAGCCGCCTCCACAGTGGCTTTTTTTTCAGTTTTCTTTTTCAGTTTTTTCTCTATTTTCTTTTTTCTGCTGTTTACATTATTATTGCTATTTGCTAAATGTTACATTCTTCTCTAATTAGCAGGCTAACTAATAAATTATGAACATGTAAATATTTAATTATTAATCACTTAATTGTTAATCACTTAATTATGAACATGTAAATTATGAACATGGCTAGACACTGTTATTTTGCTACTTGCTTATTTTGTTTCGTAGACTCTTGCTCATGTTGGATATTATCTTGCATTGTGATTTGTGAAAACTTATGAACTTCTCTATGTTATGCATGCTAATTAAGACTCTTTCGTGATTTAGTAGGTGAAATTATATTTCTTAGTCTTTTTAAGACTCTTTCGTGATTTAGTAGGTGAAATTATATTTCTTAGTCTTTTTATGTGATAATTTATAAACATATTGCTGATATGCATCTTTGTCTTATGTTCGAAAATATTAGTTTGATTTATGCACCTCAATTCAGCGAGACGCGCGCCTCATTGTGCGCCTTGCGCATGGTGCGCGTAAGGGACCTTTGTGCCCCGCATTACGCCTTGCGCCTCGATAACACTGGTAGAGAGAGAGATTACTAGAAAATCTGAAAAAAGGTTTTTTATTGAGGTATTTATAACAACTACTTTATGGTTTCTATAGTAACAATTAGGATAGATATACATTTAGGATATTTAGCAACTGATTTAACCCATCCTTAACTCTTCTTTATTTGCCAAACACAAACTTGGCTCCTAAGTTTCTTTTCCTAATTCGTTGCTGAAAACATAAATAACCCACAAAAATTCAATATTCTGTAGAAAAAATTCGGGGTGCATTCAGTCCGGATACGACTCGGATATAATGCTTACCATAGTCATATCCGCTTACCCATTTTGAATACGGATACAGATATATCTTGGTAAGAAAAATTCATATTCATATCAGCTAAAATCGGATACGGTTACAAATATAGATGTGGATATGCATGCAGATACAAAGCGGATATGAGAAAACTATATAGTATTTGAAAAAATATAGTTCGTGTGATACAAAAGAGGTCATTAATATGTTCAGTTTAACTAAAAAGTTAAGATTAAATAGACATCTTGATCATCAAAATTAACCAGAAATCCATAATTTAAGAATCGAAACTATCGTAAGAGTATGACTAATATGTATTCGGATATTTCGGATATTTCGGATACGAACACATATATTTCACTACAAAAATATATCTGTAACCATATCCTATCGGTTATTGATTTGAGTAACCATATCCATAACGGATACTATTACAAATATTTCCTCGGATACAATTACGGATATTTTCTTGGATACGGATACGTTTTAGCACCCCTAGAAAGAATGCATTACTCATAAGTAATGATTCACCAACACTAGGCATTGACTGATAATGCGATCCATCCTTTATCTTCACTCAGTTTGTTGTTTTTACCAACTGCTCCCTTAGCTTTGATTTTTGCTTGTACATTTATCTACTGCTAACCTTGTGGACAAACAACAATTTCTGATATAGACCTAGGGGTAAACATTACTATTCCACGTGGAGAAATTCCCTACAAAATTCATACCCACTTAGACCTCATTGTAATGAGACTTCTGCAAAAGGAAGATATATACACCTGTTTAAGGCACTTGCCAAGGTCGTATTACAGATATCGGATGCTATGAACCCCTAATTATCATCATAGCAGTAGACTAGTATTGTTAGTGGGCAATGTTACATTACACGTTGGGCGCTTCTAGGCGTCGGACTCGGCGCCCAGCGCTTAGTCGCCTAGGCGGACGCCTAAGCGGTTTCTGGGCGTTTTTTTTTTCTTTCTTCATTTAAGTGATGATCGATGAGGTTTTGCTGAAGGTCGGAGGAGGTAGTGGAGGTGTTCATATTTGGAGGTTAATGGAGTTTGGAGGACGTGTAGGCTACGACACGTAAAATCACAATCAATGCCTACAGGATGCAATCCACGTAAGCAGACAATGCTCCCCTAAACGCTCGTAAAATCTAGGTGGGCAGCCTAAATACCGCCTAGACGTTAGGCGCTAGTTAGGCGGCCTAGGTACCGCCTAGGCCTAGGCGTACGCCTAAGCGGGCTAGGCGGAGGTTTTTTAAAACAGTGTTAGTGGGGGAAGATCACTAGCTACTGCCCATTCTTCAATGAAAGGCAGCTTGAACTTAGATCCTTTAAATATATAAATGCATAATAATTGTATGTGAACATCCTAGAATTAATATTATATGAGGATGACTCCAAAGTGAACCAGATCGACTGTCTCACAATTCCATCAGATAAAGTTTCAGTAATAGGAGATGAAACATCAGCTGCCCTTAAATCTCATTGGGTTACAAAGTTTAAGAATCCAATATCTCCCATATAACCTCCATGTCCAAGCTAGTAGCATGTCGTCTTTTACCTTCGAAAGAGGAATTTCAATTTCACAATTACTAAATTCTTATCTCCTTGGATTCCATTTAAAATGACAGTTACACTTACACCACAAGTATTGAAAACTTACTAACTCAAAAGTCCTTATTACCATTCTCAATCAAAAGAATGCTTACTAACACAAAAGACCTCTTCTCTTTTAGCTTCGTTTTCAATTTGCCTAGACCATCTTATTACCACTCTCAATCAAAAGAAAACTTGCTAACTCAAAAGATCTTATTAATGTGGTTTGAACCCTTACCGATTCAGCAATTAATATTTTTCCTTTTATACACTGTATTTCCAGGCCAATGGAAAGGCTACTCACGAAATATGTTTAGTGCTCTCGTTTGCCTATTAACCAAAGGCAAATGGAACCAAAGGTTTAGCAGCCAACGACAGGCATTCGATTGATTAGATGTACGATGAGTATTTCAGTTGTTCTCCAGCAACTTCAAACAGAGTAATTGAAACAATAGATATTGAAGCTGAACTCAACAAAAGGCATTCATTGCTGATTATTCATTTGAACCACACTTATCAAGCTTTCAATCATTTGTAGTCGAATTAATAGCATCATAAAATGTTTATTCATGAAAAAGGCAGAAACATGAACTCCCTCCTTACCTGATAATCAAAATCAAACAAAATAATTGCATTATTATCAGCTAAAATGCAAGTAAGTGTGGTCCCCGAGGAAAACCCAAAAGAGATTCGCTATTTTTCGATATCAGAGACAAAATTTAATATTAAAACTACAGATGAAACAAAATTAGGAACCAAACGCCATAACCACTCATGCAACCTTAATTTGATCAACTGCAGCTTGTTTTGTCCTAAATTAGTAACAATTTTCCCAGTATCATATTTCTAGCTGGATTTTTCCTAAATCTAAAAACACAAAAAGGTCTATTAATCGCTAGATCCAAGAAAAAGCACAAAAATAGGAAGAGGGGAAACAAAAAGATGATGAAGATCGAGAGCATACTCTTTCTTGAGCGGGAAGTCTCGCATCCGCCAATCCGATCGCCGCCGCCGCGGCGCTGATCGAAGCACCGCCGCCTCCGCTGCTGCTTCCAGCGCCATTTCCCGCCATTTTCGCCCCCAATCTCCCTTCACATCCTCCGCCTATCGCCGAGAGATGGCCTCAGATCCCTCGAATCGACAGCGAAAAAAGCTCGGACCCGAAACTGGAGGCAAAGATTCAGCGGATGATGAGAGTATCAAGATCTCGAGAAATGGAAGTCGCTGCTGATAATAATAGAAGAGGGATCTTGAGAGAGAGGGGAGTGTGCTGGACCAGGATAAGGGGTAAATGCGGGGTGTGGAGTAATATAAGTAAGTTATGAGACGAAATGGAGGTACATTTTAAGGTGATAAATATGGGGTTAACTTTTACAAAAAAAACCTCAAGTTGAGGGAACCTTGCAAAAAACCCCAATTATTTTATTTTGAGAAAACTCCGAGGATGTTGTCGTAGATAATCCTCCCAGTTTTGAAATTTTCATAAAACCCCCTAATATTTTCTAACTTGATGTCTCCCAACTAGTACCATTAGTCTAATGTGTCATGTAATAATAAAGTCATGTAATAATAAATGTATGACTAAAAAAACTTAGGTACCCCCTTAGCCATGAAAATAGCTTGAATTTTCACAATAATTAGCAGAGAGAATGATAGACGAAGCGAGAAGGGCATTATAAATGATTCATGATCACTTTTTACTGACAAGGAGGCTTATTTTAAGTGAAAATAGATTCTTTCCAAAAAAAGATACTTAGATCATTTTACATTTTCAAATAGCAATATAAAGAGAGATTTCTAAGAAAAGTGTAAAGAGGATTATCTACAATTGATAAGGCTTCCTCTATTTAAAATTGTTGATCGAGTTTTCTGATACATTCCTCAGAGCCAAGGGGGTTATCTAAAATTAACCAATATAAACATATATATTGTGTCCCTTCGTCAGGCTGAGGCCCACGATACTCGCATCGGTGCTCCCCAACTCTCTCTCTCTCTCTCTCTCTCTCTCAACTCTCTCCTGCTGGTACAAGATGCCGTGTCTTTCTTCTCTCGAACAATTTTTCAAAACCGCCTGAATTTTTTTTTTTTTTTCAAAACCGACTGTTTTTTTTTTTTATTTATCAAAACCGACCCGGTTTTGTGATTAGCAGGTTAATGACTATCCTAAATAGTCGGGGTTGCCAACCCCGACTATTTAGGAGGGGGTTAAACCCTAATTAAAGGGTGATTAGCATGTTAATCACTATCCTAAATAGTCGGGGTTGCCAACCCCGACTATTTAAGATAGTGATTAGCCTGCTAATCACAAAACCGGGTCGATTTTGATAAATAAAAAAAAAAACAGTCGGTTTTGGAAAAAAAAAAAAAATCAGGCGGTTTTGAAAAATTGTTCTTCTTCTCTCTCAATTCACCCCCTTTGTCTAAAATCTATTGCGCATGTGTCCCTGAGAAGTCAAATTTCGCGGATTTCGTACCTTTCCAATTTTATTATAACTTTAACAAAAAACTCCTATATATTGTTAAGAATTGTGCATGAAAGTACCATCAACTAATTTAATTATAGAAAGTTATCATGAACTTTCAAATCACAAAAAAAAAAAAAAAAATTATGTGCTATTAGAAAATACTCTAACGACTAGGAGTGTGACACGCTCAAGTCAGATTTAGCTGAGTGCAAGCCAAAGGTGAAATCAACCTAGAAGTCTCATAGGATAAGTATGTATTTGGATCTATCTAATTTGCGAATTCAACCCTCCAGTTATATCCCGAACTATGAGAAAATGGGTAGCGATGTCTAACTGTATAATTTAAGAAATAAGTCGGGTTCGAATGTAGGTTTTCACAGCTAAAAACTTTTATGATTTAAAATATATTAGGCAAAATTATATATGTCTAAATCTTTAGCGACTACTAAGTTCTTAAAAACTAAAAATATCAAATAAAATCAATAAATTAAGAAGTTTAAATAAATATAATTTTTGAGTCCCGTATTTAATTTGTTTTCAGGTTAAGTGGGTCAAACATTGTACCCTTCCAACTTGGTTATCTACATAAGTTGTGTCTATTTGTATCATTTTTAATCTGTGTGTGATTTTTTGTTAGATTTTTTTTTGCTTTTCTTCAGACTTTACTATAAATCTACTCAGAAACAAAGTAAATTTACAATTGTTGAATAAATTCTCATTATTAGTTATTCCAATTAAACAAAATCTAGGTTTTGCTGAAAATCAAATTCAAATTTAAGGGTAGAACAATGCAATAATGTTAATCTAAACCGTCAGACAAAAGCATGAGCTCCTACTTGTAGAACATTAAGCGTTGCTATGCCAAAACATCCTGAAGGCGTCTATGCAAAAACATGATTTTGCAGGGAGGAAGTATCTAAAACCAAATTAAGGAGGGCGTCTATGCAAAAAAAACATCCCGAAGGCGGTTCGGTCTGGGACGCAAGTCCGGACAACGAAATGAGCCTCCTCCAGGCTCGGGTCGGGCCCTGTGGGGCCCACGGGGTACGAAACAAAACGTACGCGATCCCCAAAATGCCCCTGCGTTTTCCTCCGTTCCTAATTTCTTCTTTTACCTCTCGAGCCCCAGGTTCCTCGAGTATTTACTGTCTGTGCCATTGACGCTGAAACCTCATCACGTGGACCGTGTTGAGCTTTTATTGCCCCCCTCTCTCTCTCTAGCTCTTTTATTTCCCCCCTCTCCTTCTCGTTGTTTGTGTCCTTTTGACAAGCAAGTCGCGATTCAACTGTTGGAAGTTAGAGAGAGAGAGAGAGAGGGGGGTTGGGCTGGGCTTTTTGAGTTTTTTTTTCTACGTATTGATTGAGGTTTTGCTTGGGCTAAAGTGTCTTGTCGGATGACAAACTCAACTCAAATCTGAGGTCACGGAGTCATGGCGCTGGTTGTGACTTGTCGGGGGCAAATCAAGGCTCATTTCGTAGGGGCTCAAATTGCAATTAAATACCCTATAGTTTCTCCCACTTCGCACTTTTACCCCTCACTTGTTTTCGGAAGCATGGTCTTTACACAGCTTGTACTTTTATATACGCTAAGTTTTAAAAACATGCACTTTGTAAATATCCTAAATTTTTTTAGACTTGCAATTAATTAATTTTGAAAATTAAAACCCGAGTTTTTCTTCCTAAGATTTCCCCTCGGTGCCTATGCCACACGCACTTGTAAATATATATCCTAAGCTTTTCTTCATCTATGGGTAAACAATTAGAGAGAAAGGCAGGGGGATTACAATAGAACCCGATCCATACGGTTAGAGGGTTTCAATATATCTCCCACGGTCCTGGGTTCAATTCCGGACCTGAGCTTTAGAAAAAAAAAAGTGGTGGGCCTGGAGGCTCATCACATAAATGCAAAAAAAAAAAAAAACATGTCCAGGCTACATCATGGAGGCTCATCACATAAATGCAAAAAAAAAAAAAAACATGTCCAGGCTACATCATTACTCAAAGAAAACCATAAGGTTTTCTATGATCTAATAATGTTTATTTTCAATTGCCATTTAGATAACAGGTCAAAAATTCAATGTTTTTGTGACGCCTCGTGTGTACAAATGTACAGTTGAAGTCCAAGGCCACGTGTAGCAGTAATTAAAGAAGCCCAGAAGTCTCCCTTCAAAGCCATGGAAGTTGTGTTGACTGAAAATTTAGCCGCCTAACTTGTTGCTAACATAACCATCGATCCAGGGAAAGCTCAATCACTGATGTAGCCATTTGGGCAATATGTCGTGTTAATGCTACGATCAAAATGTCTGTTTTAAGGAAACGCTATTCATTTATCGAATGCAAACCAGATTTCAACGCAGAATATGTTAAGTATTAGGGAAAAATCTCTTCTAACCCAAAGTTTTACCCCCAATTATTTAAAAACCCACTCACTTTTACAAAGCACCAAAAGATCACTGTATCTCATCTCACTTAATTTTTAAACCCAAACATTATAATACACCCCATTTTCTTATACTGTATTTACCCAATAATTAAAAATCCTAAACTACCCTTAATGCCGGGCCAAAATTCCCAAATTAAGCATCATCTCTCTCTCTGTTTCGTTTCTCTTCCCGTTTCACTGTTCCAGAGATCCAGGAGAACTAGGGTTTCGGCGAGGATCTTTGGTTGAGGAACATCCCCGACGGTGAGCGACGCAACGTACGGCGGCTGCACGGGTCTGAAAGGCGGAGGATATTTGGAGCGACGACGGACAGGCGGCTGCACGGGTCTAAAAGCGGGTAACACACTAATCTTCCCCTTTTCCATCTCTAATACTTGAATTAAGCCTAGATCATCGAATTTCATCACACATCTTCCTCATATCAACTGAGTGTTTTCATATTTCGATATGAGGTTAAGAAGGCGAACGAAGAGAGTTAGGGCTTGGATTAATCGGTTTGTCTGTAAGCGAGAGATATTGGAGTTGGGAGAGATCGGGAAAGAAAGGTTTCTGCATTGATTAAGCTCTTTTTTTAAATTAATTATGGAATGATGATCTCTTGGACCGTAATTATGGTTTGAATGTTTGGTATACATTTAGGTCATCGTGGGACTTGTATTTGTTGGCGCACATTGAAGTTCGTTTAGTATCTTTCACTCTATTTACATCGGTGAGTACTAACATTTATCCATTGTTTGGCTAACCAATAAAGTCGAAACAAAAAGAAAAAACACTTTCTTTGAAATTAAGCCCTTGTGTAGTTTTGATCACATGCAACTGCACATATAAATGTTTGAAAGGGCCCGAAAAGATAAGAATGTACTTATAATCACTGAAATTCTTCTCAAACATACTAAGGTTTATCACCTAAATGATTAGCTTGGTGTTGAAATCATTAAATTTATAAAGGAATTCCACCTATCGCTGGGATATTCCCATAATTATATGTAGCTTTTTGAAATATTTGTCATAAGGTTGTCGAAGAAATGCTCAACAGAAGGAAGATCGAGGGTTCTTCCCCATCGACTGTCTAAGGCTACTAAGTAAGTAAATTATAATTTATCTGAAATTATTGTTATTTCCTAAATTTAATTATTTTCTTATTTTTTTACTGTAAAATGAAATTGAATATGAAGATTTGAATCCGTAGATCCCTAGATAACGTCTGATACATAACGAATGATAAATAAAGCATCAGGAGAAACTCCAACATAACTAGTGTTCTGGCGAACAATAGTTGTTTTTTTCCTACATCAATTGAAACAGTAGATAATAAGTTTGGTAATGAGAGGAATTAAAACAATAGATATTAGCATGTGAATGAGTTGAATATATTGATAAAAGTTACATGAGCAA